CTATTACTGTTAATGATCGGTCTGTCATTTTAGAATATATAATTCGTCGATTAGAATGGACAAGATTGCAAACTTTAGTTATTCTTAAATCTAATTCGACATCAATTACATTTTATGTTGATTCATCGATTGACGAACTTCATATTGATATATCATCAACAGGTTAATAGAATATTTTTATCATCTTTTCGAATTGTTTCGTTATTCCAGCGATTCCTGTATATTTATTTGAAAAAAATAACTATTTAATATAGACGACAGTATTTGACATGAGTCAAAGTTTTGTGATCCGATCCGAGGTCCAATATTTTTTTCTTGAGCACATCTGACTCAAACGACTACTTGTCTCTTTCTCTAGAGAAAAATCAACTTAGAAATTATTTTTTCTTCCTTTCGTTTCATTGTTGAAAACAAACGATATATGTCTTTCATATCTCACAGTTGGGGCCCTATGATTATGTGGCAAAATGCTTTCTTATTTCGATGTCTGTTCTTATGTACATTGTTTCATTGAACATACAGTTCATCCTGTATGCATTGTTGTCCAAAGTCAATAAAGAAAAGTCTGTCAAGTAGAAGAAAACATAGTCGAATATATAAATTCTTCTTCTTCTTAGCTAGGAAAACCTGTTTTATAAAACTTTTAAATGACAACACCATTTAAAATATTTTTCTCTATCTGTAAAATATTTAGATTGTAAATCCAGCTCAAAGGTCAATTTTTTTTTCTCAGCCTGACTCGAGTAAGAGACTAGTGACAATAATTACATTGTGTCTCACGTTTTAATCCCAAAGGAATTGCTCTAACAGCTTTTTTTTGTACAGATGAAATAACTGGCATCAATCAAATTGAATTGCTTACACCAAATAATTCAGTATATCCACTGACTAGAAATGTTATTAACACAAAACATTTGTATATGTGGAAAATTTTACAACCATATGTTGGCGAATGGCGTTTAACAACATCAAATTTATCCCAATCAATTAATCTTAATGTTCAAATTCAAGGTAAATCAAGTGTTGTATGTTTGTCTAGCTTGCAAAAAGACATGAAAGCAAATGTAGATAATAATGGTTATACAGAATTAACAACAGAACCTCTTATTGATTCTGATTTACTTATTTTAACGACATGTGAAAATGTCAACTTTACTTATGCTAATATTTCTCTTATCAATCAATGTGGTCAAGTTATTGAAAGTTATGCACCGTTGAAATTAGATCAACTTGGAATATTAACAAAAATTCGTGTTCCTCGACAAGCATTTCGAATTCAAACAATGCTTCAATTATCTAATGGTATTCAAATTCAACGCATTGAAAAACAACTTATTTCACCAACAATGTTTACTGTTGAATTAACTAATCAACCGTATATGTTATCAATTGGTGAGACAATTCAAATGAATTATACTCTAAAAAGTTCAATATCTGAACAAGTTTATATACGTTTGCAAATAAGAGATACATTGAATTTAATTAGTTCTAACGGTATTGAAAAAAATTTAATATTTACTAATGAAACATCTCAAATGGATTTATTTACATTACCAAGAAGTTTTCAACTAAAATCAATAAACGATATGATCATATTTACTTTGTCAACATATAATAATAAAACAGATCAATTTTCATATGAAAATGATGACATAGCACTTGTTTATTTCGATTCGTCTTCAATGCCAAGAACAACTAATTATTTTATTATTTTTTTCTTCTATCTGTTCTTTTTTTTATGAAACTCACTTGTAACAAAATTGCATTTCAATGATGAAATTTAATCGATTATTTTCCTTTTTACTTAAGAGTAAGGTTGAGAATGAGTGTGAGCGTGTATACAGAGGATTCACATTTATACACGTTTGCTCTTAGTTTACTTATATAGTGAAGGAAAGTTTGCTGGTTCCATGGTCATAAATGGACTGTTCCTTCATGAATAAAAGCGTGTGGGTGTGGGTGAATACAAGAATAGCATCCATATTCACATATATTATCTCAGAGAAAGAAAAAAAAATGCGTTGGTACAAAATAGCCGATTGATGTTTTTGCTCCAGAAATGAATCGATATCTACTATTAAAGCGAACAGATTTAAATTTAAAGAATCAAAGAATGCCAATGGTATTGTTCTATTATTTCATTACAATATGTTTGAAGCCAATGGTCATAACCAATAGTAAATTATCAAATAAATGAGCTAACGAAAAATGCTTTTATCATACAATTGAAGCATCCAACAAGGGTATTCAAGTAACCAAATGGATGAAGAAGAATTTATATATTCGACTATGTTTTCTTCTACTTGACAGACTTTTCTTTATTGACTTTGGACAACAATGCATACAGGATGAACTGTANAGGGTATTCAAGTAACCAAATGGATGAAGAAGAATTTATCGAATAGGATTGTGATAAATAACGAGGGTGGGTGTGGGTGTAGGTGTGGGTGTGGGTGTGGGTGGGTGTGCGCGAAGGTTTGATCATATATACTAACCCCACATCCCACACACCCAAACACCCACACCCCACACACCCACACACCCACACCCACACCCACACCCAACCCACATCCTCGATTCAATGGGCGAATGAATAAGTATTTGTTTGCCTTAGTTCATTGAAGTCATCATCTACGAGAAAAAACACAAGAAAATCATCAATAATCTTCATTCTTTTTTTAATTCAATTGATAATATTAATCAAACCAACAAAGATTAGCTTGATAGATAGACAGACACTAAATAGAAACCTCTGTATTACACATATTATNTGAGGGGGAGTACAGGGATTTGTTGTGTTTTTTCTTACCTTCGACTTTTGATAAATTTCGTTCGATACTATCAACACACGATGTACAAGTCATACCTTCCACTTGAATGAAGCATGTTTCAATACCGTCACTTTTCTTCGTTATTGCTGGTGGTTTTCTTCTAAGCTCATTTCGATTGTTGTTGAGTTCAGATGATGGTGATGGTTCTATTGAAATCAATTAGAGAAACGACTTCTTATGAGTGGTGATTGTTTTTTAGAATCTGTATTGTAAAAAAAGAGAGGCAAACCGATTTCATAATGATCAGTTGATACGGCAGCTTTGAAACCAAGTTTTTCAATTTCAGTTACAATATGAGCAAGACTTAAAATGCGAGAATCATAAGTTACAACGGCAATTTTCTCTTCAAATGTCAATTTAATATCAATAGCACCCGGAAGATCTCCAATCGTGGCACAAATATTCGACACACATGAATTACAATGCATGCCTTCAATACGTATTTGTACCACAACTATGCCAGATTTCAAACTTGTATCATTCGAATCAATTTGTGCCGAATAGCCAAGACTATACATGATTGATAGTAGTTCAAAGCGACTTAGATTTCTCGAATCATATTTTAGTTCGATGCAACTATCATCATTATCATCAATATCCATGAAACGACATGACACAAGTCCTTGAATGCCTTGATATAATCGATCGGAAACATAATGATGATTGAGTCTGTGCACACCAGTCAAAAGTATTTCAATACGAGTTATATGTGGAGCTTCAGCATCGAAGACGAACATCGCACGATAGCTTTAAAGAAAATATGAGAAGAAAAATTAGCAATCATCTGTATTCGATGCACTGAAAAATTTTAACTGCTCAGTTTGAGAATAATTATTTTTATAATTGAAGACATATAGATAATCATATTCTATTAATTGGAAATATTCTATGCAATGTATTAGGATACATTGTAGTTCTTTTTTGTCGAAAAACTAGCTCGATGATTTTGTTTGATATACAATGAAAAATCATCGAAATGTTTTACTCACTTGTCAAACGTCAAATGTTTGATAAGTCGAAGTTCTATATCTGCCATTGGTATATTAGGCGCAACTTGAATTGTACAAAGACCACTTGAAGACACTCGACATCCGATGACTTCATCAATAGATCGAGCACGTACATCTACGATTGATGCACTTGCGTCATCAACTACACCATCAATGAATAGACGAATGATTTTAGTTAACGTATGCATTGAAATCGTTTTCAATTTCTAAAGAATATACTGAGCAAAACAAAAGAAGAATAGAATCAGGTGAATTCTATGAGATTTTACAAAAAAAAAAGAACAAAGGTTAAGGTGAGCAAGGACGAAAATTTGTTTTGGATGTCTTATTATATAGTGGTTGTTGTCTCATAATATCTTTCATTTTTTCACGCAACATATTTTTTTCACTAACACACTTTTATATTTATGTAATCTTTATTTAAGAACCTTAGCTCACGTGTGTTATATCCGAACAANCTCCTCATTATTATGTTGAGAATTATCTAAATTAAAGAAACAAAAATAGTCATCTATATAGATAAATAGATTTGTATTTTGGTAGTGTTTTGACCGCCGGTATACCGCGGTACCTAATAAAACCGCCGTTACACTGCGGTACTTAATAAAACCGCCGGTATACCGCGGTACTCAATAAAACCGTCGGTGTACCGGCGGTTTTTTCAAGTACCGCGGTATACCGCCGGTAGTTCAAATAAATGTGCGACATGGGAGTCTTTGGGGCAAGCTGGAGAACATACGCTTAATTTTCTCGTTATAGATTTGGCTCATACAGCAAGTGAAACGTAAGAAACGACTCATGCTGGTTTACCGATTAGTGCGATTCCGATCTGACCGATTTAGACCATTACCGGTTCCGACTCTGCTCGCATGCCACAACTCATGGCTACATTGTCACACTCACATCCTTTAGGAAGAATATTTCTCCAAGTTACAACTTCAACAAACAGTGTAATTTTGGCAGAAGATATATAAAAGTATACTAGCGAGAAAGCGTGCATACTGCAGGCCAGCATTTTTTCTTTAACGCACGACCTCAAAACTTGAACCTGACACTAGATAACAGGCACAGAGACACTCGACATTATGTACATAAAAGCTCTACGGCCTGATATACTTATATCGTTAATACCCAATGTAGCCTTGTGGCTTTATAGTCTTATATTTCGCGCAGCACTTTTAGTCTTATCACTTGTAGCCTAACCCCCTTATAGTTTTACCCCCATATTGCCTTTCTGCCTTATAGTCTTACCCTCTAATAGCGTTCACACTCCGTATAGCCTATTCCACCCAATAGTCTTATGCGTTTATAATCTTACCCTCTTATTGCTTTACTGCTTTATAGCCTTACCCCCTTATAATGTTCCCTCTTAAAGCCTTATCCCATTATTGCCTTACCCTCTTATAGCCCTATTCGACATTTAGCCTTTGACCGTTAACCTTTAACCTTTAACCTATGACTCGCCTCAGACAGACAGACAGACACTGAATATTATATATACATATAGATTATTATTATTAATCTCCTTCATTGATTAACTATGTAAAAAAATAGTGTATGTCACACTGGCCAAACGTAATCAACACCTTTTACGTGGATATTTACCAAACGTCATAGAATGCATTCTGAATCATTGGCTTTGGGCGCTACTCACAAACCTGTGGTTCGATCGCTGAACATAGATTTACTCTTCATCGGCCTACACCCTAACTAGCCACTATGCAAACCTATGCTACACATCTATAAGTAAAAATACTCATTTATGTTAAAAGATAATCAACTTGAGTTTATCACCCAACATCTGAAGAATGCATTGATAAACGAGCAGATATTTTGCACTATTCTAGATAAGTGAAAGAATGTTCAACGTTTTTATCGTTCTTCTTATCGGACTATATTCTATCCCGTGCGCCAATTTGGCGAAAAGTATGAAAAGTTTTCAACAAACTTGTATAAACTGTTTTTCTTGACTTTCTTACTGGTTTAGCTTCGTGTATTGCTTCGTATGGGCAGTGTGGTGGTACAGGATATTACGGTTCCAATCAATGTTGCTCACCAGCTACTTGTCAATACAGTAACTTCTCATTCTCGCAATGTTTGACAAGTACGTTCACGCCAACATCAGCAGCAATGCCAGCAAAAGTATTCACGGTAACATCGACTAGAACGACCACATCAACGTCGATCAGAAAGACTACGACAGCATCAACAGCAATACCGACTAGAACGACCACGGCAACATCGACTAGAATGACCACGGCAACATCGACTAGAACAGCCACAGCAACAGCAACATCGACTAGAACGACCACGGCAACATCCACTAGAACGACCACGGTAACATCGACTAGAATGACCACGGCAACATCGACTAGAACAGCCACAGCAACAGTACCATCGACTAGAACGATCACGGCAACAGTAACATCGACTAGAACGACCACAGCAACATCGACTAGAGCGATCACGGCAACAGCAACACCGACTAGAACGATCACGGCAACCGTAACATCGACTAGAATGGCCACAGCAACAGCAACATCGACTAGAACGGTCACGGCAACAGCAACATCAGCGACAATACCGACTAGAACCACCACGGCAACATCAACGGCAACGGCAACGTCAACAGCAGCATCTACTAGAACGGCGACGACAGCGTCGACACCAACCTCATCATTAACAACACGCAGTGTTGGAGCTTCCACTGGTATGTGACTTATTGATTCTACAATTTTTACTCATTTACTTGATGTATTTCTCATAGCTGGAGGTTGCAGTAATCTATATGGCCAATGTGGTGGAATTGGATGGACTGGTCCGACTGCATGTTGTGAAGGATCAATTTGTATTCTGAGCAATGCCTACTATTCACAATGTCTGTCAGTTACAAATAGTTCGGGTAATAGTATAGCTTCTATAATTTCGACCACAACTCCATTTAGCGTGTTTTTATTATCCACTGTATCTTCTAGTACTCGTAGTACTCTTGCTGGTTCTACGAGTATCAGTGTAGGTTGAATCATTCATAAGTAGATAAGGCTGAAAAGCTCAGATCCCACAATGCATGTAAAGTACAATGTAAAGACAATGTGTTCTTTACGAAACCTAAAAAGGTTCTTCTTGCGAATACAAACTCAGAAGGTTATTATGGTTTCGTATAAAACAAGTAGAGTGTCAAGCCTTTTGTGGACAGCTATAATAAAGATTTCGTATCAAGGAATTTGTACTGGTTCCTATATCAATACCATCAACAATATCAGCCTATCCCTACGCTTTTATTTCTTGAGCTAATTTCTACATATTATATTAAAGTTCTTATCATTATACCTAACCCCTTATCAGTATGCCTAATCACTTACTCGCATATCTAGTGCCTCATTTTAAAAATATACTTGACCCGGCAAAACTATGTCTACTTCTTTATTCTAATATCTGATCAATCATTTTTACACCTAAACCTTTACTCATATACATATCCTCTTATTCCCGTACTTGAGCTCTTTTTCGTATATCTAAGTCTTTTGTCGCTATTAAGAACAGATCAAAATCTTCGAAGCATCTACTATGAGACGCATAATTGAGTGGCCTATATTCCGATATAAATTTTTTTTCTTAATAGTTAAATTTATTAGATTATTACTAATGATTGTTACTTTCCATAAATAAATTGATTAATTAAATGCTTTCATAGCTTTTGGCTTCCTTATATACTACTAGAAAAGTATTGAAAACTGTGCATTTTTTGTTTTCTAATTAGTAATTCTCTTTTCATAACAAAACACAAAATTAGAAGCCATCTTAAACCTTTACCATCCGTTTTCGATAGTCATTCTTTGCTAATATTGCTGCTTGTTATTACTAGGCTGCGGCATGATGTATAATCAATGTGGTGGAATAGGATGGACCGGTCCGACTACATGTTGTGCAGGATCAACTTGCATCTTCAACAATGCTTACTATTCACAATGTCTTCCAGTCACTAGCAATTCGAGCAGTACTGCGTTGCCCATGAGTTCGACCACAACTAGAGTGAGCATGTCTTCATTGTCCATTGTATCTAGTAGCACTCATAGTACTACTGCTGATTCTACGGGTACCAGTGCTAATGGAACCACTCGTAAGTAGATGAGTCTGGAAAGCTTATATCACAAGATTGGTGTATCCATTCGTTCATTACTAATATTCCTGTTTGATAGAACAAGGTTGCGTTACGATGTACAGTCAATGTGGTGGAATCGGATGGACCGGTCCGACTACATGTTGTGCAGGATCAACTTGTACTCTGAACAATGCATACTACTCACAGTGTTTACCAACAGCAGGTTCGTCCTCGTCTTCTATTTCTACAAGCAGTACCGTTCGTTCAAGCACGGCGTCGTCTGTCAATGCCAGTGTAGCTGGTGTGACTACTCGCTATTGGGACTGTTGCAAAGCAAGTTGTGCCTGGCCGGGCAAAGCCCAAGTTACAAATCATGTAAAAACGTGTGCTTCAGATGGTGTCACTGTCATCGATCCAAATGTGCAATCAGGGTGTAACGGTGGCAACGCTTATATGTGTAATAATCAACAACCATGGAGTGTTAATGCTACTCTAGCCTACGGCTATGCCGCTGCCAATATAGCTGTTAGTAAAGTCACTTTTATTTAGCGTACATATCTGAATTGTGTTCTTTTAGGGTCTATCGGAGGCTACATGGTGTTGTGCTTGCTATTCACTGCAGTTCACATCAGGTCCAGTAATTGGCAAGCAGCTCGTCGTTCAAGTAACAAACACTGGCGGTGATCTGGGCAACAATCATTTTGATCTTCAAATGCCTGGTGGCGGAGTAGGTATTTTCAACGGATGTATAAGCCAGTTTCCAGGTAGCTATAGTTGGGGTACACAGTATGGCGGTGTTAGGCAGCGATCAGATTGTGCAAAACTACCGGCGGTGATTCAAGCAGGTTGCTATTGGCGTTTCGATTGGTTCATGAATGCTGATAATCCGACAATGATCTTTCGCCAAGTACCGTGCCCAACTGCTCTTACTTCAAACACTCAATGTATTCGAAATTGAGTAGCAAGCCGAGCATCATATACGTGACATACACACACGCTATTTACACCAATCATTGTAAACTTAAATTCCGAAATAATTTTCAAATAAAACAAGCATTGCTTGAATATCTATGTTTATCAAGAATCGAATCAAGCGGGATGTATCCAATTTATAGGGTTTATTCGCTCATCTCGATCGCATTTGCTGATTTCTCAGAGATATGACACAATAAATTTGTTGCACAAGGACATGCGTGGGTATGAATATGGATGCGAATAAAAAAGAGACGCGTACTAATACCCACGCACACGTTCTTGAGCATTTCAAGGAACATCGTTCGTATGGCTCCTTGCAGTTTCATTGTATGTAATTTTCAAGAAAAGTACGAAGAAATAACATAACTATTAAAAGAAACTTGTTGGATTACTTTAATGAAAAGTAGCAATAACGTAAAAACAAATATTAAAACGTTTCGTTTGAAAAATTATGAAGTGGGATGAGTTTTTCTTAATAGACGATCAAAGCGATTTTGATAAATTAAAAACGAATCTTGAACTCAAACTTTATCTAGTTCAATTGAAAAAGGCTCTACTGAAGCACTCTATGTGCTGTTATAATAGCTGACAACTGTCCCTACTCTATTCCTTCATTTCAGATAAAATATTCGAGGAAAACCAACAAACACATGCAATCAGCTTTTCTCATGTTTTGAGAAGGAAAATGAAAACATGACATAGCAGTTTGGGCATTATCCATCTCCCGAAGTATTTTTCTCGAGATGAATCTTAAAGTCAAACGTTTTGTCTTCCTACTAAAAGTATTGAAAACCTTTGGTTCTTCAGAAATACATTGATAGATCGTTCTCTCTTTTATTGATATGGCATCATATGTCTTGTTACGAAACTTTTTTCGAGAGGAGTTCAGTTATTTTAGCTTCTTCTAACGAGTTACCAAACTGTCATAATTTGTTCAAGATGGATACTAAAGTCCAGATATTACCTATTCTAATAGACAGACATATAAACGTATCGTTTCAAATAATCGTGCGAAAAGCGCACTCGATATTTTGTTTTTTTCTTTGGCATAATTTATTAAGACGGTATAGTGCAACTTAGTTTTAGTGCATGATGATGGAAATTAATATAGGATATGATAAATAAATTTATTATAATAAGTTTTAAAATCTTAATTGAACATTGTCAGTAACTCAATGGATTATATTAGTACTCTCTAATATCTAAGTGTCTATACGGAATTTTCTTGTATTCCTTTGGCGGCGTTGAGTTGTTGTCGTACCATAGGAATAGCTTGGACAATTTCGATGCAATTGTTAACCTCAATCAAATCCTTGTGTTCATGTTTTTGTAGCATGCCTCTTATGCTTTGTTCATGAGCAGCCTTGAGTTGTACAAGTTCCTTATATAATTGTAAATTATGCTGGTGATAAGGTTTGCTATCGCAAATATAACTCTCCTCATCGATCATTCGATTGAGACTGGCCAAAAATGGGTTCTCACTCGAATGCTGACCAATATGTATGAGGAAATTAGCAAAGTGCACGCTTGCAGGCAAAAGTACTTCACGTAAAGTATCTAACTCGTTCGACTGATAGTTCGTCCTATCGACTGATTCAACAAAATCAAGTTGATAATCGACTCGGACATGCTGCTTTGAATCGCATGAACAATGTTCACATTGCTTTCGGTACTCGTGCAAAGAATCACACGCGATCCAAAAGCTAGCATATCGTAGAACTGAACGCGAGCACCGGTGGCATATAGCAGAAGGCCTTTGAATAGGTTTTGGACGGAGCTTGATAACTTTATATGAGGATTGGTACTTGTACAGAAGATAATTTCGAAGAATGTTTCGCATTGCTTCAGTTATTGGACGAATCATCTCGAGGATTTCGAATCGGACACATTCTGTTTGTTGTAGTCCTTGATGTAGGAGATATGGACGGTTGGTATGACGAACATACTTCAGAAGTAGGTCTACTCCTTTCTTTGAGATCGACCAGCTCTTTTCACAATTCTTCTCTGTACGATCGAGCCAATGTACTCCGGCTAAATGGAGAAAGAATGTACTGTCGAAGTAAACTATGCTCTTGGGATTTACAGCAATATCGCCAAGGGAAAGTAATTGGAGCAGATTTTGAATTTGATCGTTTCTTTGATTATTATTCATCCGCATGGAAAGACACTTGGTAAAACAGAAAACTAAATTATCATGCGCTCCGTGTCCAATAAAATCGAGCAACGGCGTCAAAAACTGTTGATAAGCAGTGAGTTTAGAGTTGCCCGACTCTATCAGAACACATACGGCATTCAAATGCGTTAGATTTGAGATATATGATAGGATGTGCTCCATGGTTATCTCATTGTGAGCTTCACCACTTACATCAGAAAAGCCAGGTGTATCAATGATACATAACTTTTGCCCATTTTCGACGTTGAACGTGTGTGATTTGCAACGCTGCGTTATAGATTGACCTGAACGATAATAATCTTCGTTGGGATCGTTATTGTTGAGTTGAATGCAATGTAGTTCTCCATCAGTTGTTACAGAAAATATAGATGGAATCAAAGCATACCGGACAGATTTACTCGATTGAACTTCTGGGAATGTTCCGAATCGCAGACAATTGGCGATTGTGTTAATCAGTGTCGATTTGCCGACTCCTGATTTACCTATGAGAACAATATTGATCGTCTGATTGGTAGAAGACATAGCTGGTTGCAAGTCGGATTTTTTCGTTGTCGGTATCAAACAATCGCGTATACCAGCACTTGGGCTATAGTTCGTTGAGGGAAACATTTTGATCATGTTCAACTCGTATGAACAGTAGGAGAAGTCGACATAAGTCAGCTTCAAACCAGGGTTTTCTGCACGTTCCTTAGTCATTCGTGTAAATATGTCTTGCAATTGTGACCAATGCATTGCGTTTAAACAGTCGTTGGAGCACAGGATGCGTAGTCCTTGTTTATCTCGAATTAACTTGTGCTGGATCTCCTCTTCATTATCGCCTTGTTTGATATTATATTTGGCTGCATTCCAATAATCAAATTTTTTGCTTTTCAGATCCTTGATAAAATCCTGTTTCTCTTCAAGATTTCTCAGATCATGCTTCAAATCTTCGATGTTGCTTTTCAACTTCGTTTCTTCTTCCTCGATTCGTAAGCAACGTTCGATAGCCTCTTGTGGCTCTGTGCCTTGACGAATACGTAAAATCAAATCTCGACTTTGTTTCTTTTCCTCGTCATATTGATCTGTTAATTTTGAGACTTTAGTCTGAATTGCGTCAAACTGCTCCTTAAGATCAGTTTGCCAAATATCAGATGTATTGTTGTTTCGAAATGTGTCCCATATTATTTTGACAGAGGACAATCGAAGCCAATGCTCTTCAATCCTTGTTGCGATTTTCGGCTCGATTGGAATAAATTTGGTGTTCTGTTGATTTTGATCAGAACAAAAGATGTTGATGGGATGAAGAATATAGTTGCAAAGTTGCTGATCACCAGGCTTCTTTTTCATTTCGAAAATTTCTTGGCATACATGAAATAATGTTGGTTGTTTGGCTAAATGAGATGTGTTTGAATAGACGCGCGTAGAAAGAATTCGATCTAGTGCATTTTGATGAACACTTAATTTCTTCTCATCTTTCAAGCATTGACATATTTGATCGAGGCTGTCATCAATGGTTTTCGAATCATCAAGTGGTAGTCTCAATAGAACAACAACATCAATGCCCTTGTCTACTGCCGTGATGATGTGAGTGGCGGTAGTCCTACACGGTTCTTTTAAAATGCTTTTCTCATCGAGTGAAGCTTGAGTCCGAACCAGATAGGAATAATAGAAGATACGAGTGTATTCATCGACTACAAATGGATATGTAACAACTGAATCAATACCGGTCGATTGAACCAAGTTCGATAACACACTCAATCGAAGGTCGGCAGGAAAATCAATGAGTCGAAGAACATTCCGATTCTCAAGTTTCTCGCCACTTGTTATCTCACATTTTATCGACGGATACTCGTATCCTTCCTTAATATTTAAATTGATACTCGCTGATCCTACGATATGATCTCGCCATCCATCATAGAAATGTCCTATACGACCATTAGGATCGACTGCCTTGCGCACACTTGTGCTCGACATTATGTATCGATCCAATGAGGTTTTGAAGCTTGTGTGCGAGTGCTGCGTCGGAGTGTTAGGGACATTATGTCTCGTATTGAACAGAATATTATCATAAGAATTTATTAGTACACTTGCATTAGGAATTGTCTGATTCTTCAACCATGTTTCTCCTTCGTAGACAATCCAACTGCTTACACATCTGATGAAATCTTTGGCATAGATGCATTCCAGCCATTTGTCTGGCAACTTCTTATAGCCATAGTAAGCTCCTGCTAACTGACCATAGATAGCTGCTGTTGTGTCTGTATCATCACCTAGATTAACTGCATTAAGTGCGCCTGCTTCGAACGAGTCCCCGTCACTCCAAAAAGCCCATAAAGCAGCTTCCAGAGCATTGACAATGTATCCTTTCCCTCGAATTCCCTCTTGATAGCCACCTGGTTTTTGATAGGATCCATGAGCAATCGCCATGATGTCAGTATGAAGGGTTCGATCTCCAAACCATTTTCGATGCTCTTCATAAAATGTTGTACTAGTTAAGTCACTTTTCTTTGCACCGTCAAGGGCAGCTACGATAAGAGCTCCGTAATAACAACATGCATCATAAACTTTGTCATCTCCATGGGTTATTTGTCCACTAATGCCGGAATAGTCAACGGCCACTTCCGGATTTCGATAGAAGAAGAGCGGTACAGGTGCGAGACGCATCAAAGCTCCATTACCAGCCACATCCTTTTTACTGCAATTCACGTCGAAGGCTTGAACAAGGTCACACTTAGAGAGAGAGTCCATTTCATCTAACACAATGTCGTGATCATTTGCAAACTTTCTTTGGCGCCTTTCAAATTCTTCGATTGAATATCGAGTGGCCGCACCAATGTCGAAACATTGACCAGTCGACGACATGTAGCCATGCCGATACCACCATTTGTAGCGAACTAATTGATCGTATGGAACAAAGTCTCGACAAACAATTAGCGAATTAGCCAAACAAAGCGCCATGGAGGTATCATCGGTAAACTATAAAAGCGAACTACTATGCATTTTCTATCGTTAAATTTCCTACCNTTCCGAGTCGCCTGACTCTATTAGAACACATATGGCATTCAAATACGTCAAATTTGAGATATATGATAATATGTGCTGCATGGTTTTCTCATCGTGAGCTAGGTCATGTGAATTAGGAAAACCAGGAGTATCAATGATACATAACTTTGACCCATTTTCGATGTCGAATGTGTGTGATTTGCAACGTTGTGTTATAGACTGGTCGGGATGATTATGATCTTCATTGGGATCGTTTTTCCCGAGTTGAATGAAATGCTGCTCCTCATCAGTTTTTCGCGGAAAAATACATGAAACCAATACACGCAGGACAGATTTATTCGATTGAGTTTCTTCGACCTTTTTGAATTGTAGACAATTGGCAATGGTGTTAATTAGTGTTGATTTGCCGACTCTTGATTTACCAACGAGAATAATATTGATCATCTGATTGTTAGAAGGCATAGCTGGTTTCGAATAGGATTTTTTTGTTGTTGGCATCAAAAAATTGCGCACACTAATACTTGAACCATAGTTCATTGATGGAAAAGTTTTTATCATGTTCAATTCGTATGAACAGTAGGTGAAATCAACATAAACTAGGTTTAAGTCACGATGTTCTGAGCGTTCGCTAACCATTCGTGTAAATATGTCTTGCAATTGTGACCAATCCATTGTATTTAAATAGTCGTTGGAGCACAGAATACGTTGCCATTGCCTATCTTTATTTACCTTTCGTACAATCTCATCATCACCGTCGCCTTGTTTGATACCACATCTATCGGCATTCAAATAGTCAAATTCTTTGCTTTTCAAATCATTGATCAAATCCTGTTTCTCTTCCAAAACTCTTAGATCATGCTTCAAATCTTCGATTCTATGCTTCAACTTCATCTCTTCTGTCTCGATCTGTAAGTGATGTATGATAGCCTCTTGCTCCTTTTTACCTTGACGAATACTCAGTATCAAATCTTGGCTTTGTTTCTTTTCCTTATCATATTGCTCTACTAGTTCCGTCACTTTACTGTACACAGCATCAATTTCTTGCTTCAGCTCAGTTTTGAAAACATCCGACTTTATATTGTTTTGAAAGGTTTTCCATATTGTTTGAACAGAGACTAATCGAAGCCAATGCTCTTCAACCAGTGTTACGATTCTCGGTTCCATTGGAATAAATTTGGTGTTTTGTTGATTTTGATCGAGATAAAAAGCGCTGATAGGATGAAGAATATAGTTACAAGGTAGTTGATTAGCAGGGTTCTTTTTGATTTTGAGAATTTCTTGGCATACATGAAGTAATGTTGACTGTTTACATAAATTGGACGTGTTCGAATAGACATGTGTGGAAAGAACCCGATTCAGCGCATTTTCATTTACACTTAGTTCCTTGTCGCCTTTCATGCATTGACATATTTGATCGAGACTATCATCAATGGTATTTGAATCCTCAAGCGGTAATCTCAATAGAACCACGATGTCGATTCCCTTGTCTATTGCCGTGATGACGTGAGTGGCTGGAGTTTTACACACATCTTTCAGCATACTTTTCTCGTCAGGGAATGCTTGACTTCGTATTAGGTATGAATAATAGAAGATGCGAGTACATTCATCGATAATAAAAGGATAATCAACAACTGAATCAATACCGATCGATGATACCAAGTTTGATAACACACTTAATCGTAGATCAGCAGGAAAATCAATGACTCGAAGAACATTTCGATTCTCAAGCTTCTCGCCACTTTTTATTTCACATTTTATCGGCGGGTACTCGTATCCTTCTTTAATATTTAAATTGATACTCGCTGCTTCTACGATATGATCTCTCCATCCATCATATAAGTGTCCCATACGACCCGACGGATCAATTGCCTTGCGCACACTTGTGCTCGACATTATGTATCGATTCAATGAGGTTTTAAGGCTTGCATGCGAATGCTGCATCAGAGTGATAGGGACACTCTGTCTCGTATTAAACAGAATGCTATCATAAGAATTTATTAGTACACTTGCATTGGGAATTATCTGGTTTTTCAACCATGTTTCCCCTTCGTAGGCAATCCAACTGCTTACACATGTAATGAAATCTTTGGCATACATGCAATCCAGCCATTTTTCTGGTAACTTCTTGTAACCATAGTGAGCTCCTGCTAACTGACCATAGATAGCTGCTGTTGTGTCTGTATCATCGCCCAGATTAACAGCTTTAAGTGCACCTGTTTCGAACGAGTCTTCATCACTCCAAAACGCCCACAATGCGGCCTCCAGAGCATTGACAATGTATCCTTTCCCTCGAATTCCATCTTGATATCCACCTGGTTTTTGATACGATCCCTCAGCAATCTTCATGATTTCAGGATCAAGGCTTCGATTACCAAACCATTCTCGATGTTTATCGTAAAATGTTTTACTAGTCAGCTCGCTTTTCTTCGCACCATTCATGGCAGCTATGATGAGAGCTCCATAATAACAACAGGCATCATAAGCTTTGTCATCTCCATGGGTGATTCGACCACTAATGCCAGAATAGTCGACGGCCACTTCTGGATTTCGGTAGAAGAAGAGTGGCACAGGTGCAAGACGCATTAGGGCTCCGTTACCAGCCACACCCTCTTTACTGCAATTTACATCGAATGCTTGAAGAAGACCACGATCAGATAGCAAGTCCATTTCATCTAATGGCATGTCATGATCGTGTGCAAACTTTCTTTGGCGTGTTTCAAATTCTTCGATAGACTGTCGAGTGGCTGCACCAATGTCGAAACATTGACCAGTCGATGACATGTAGCCATGTCGATACCACCATTTGTAGCGAACTAATTGATCATATGAAACAAAGTCTTGACAAGCAATTAGCGAGTTAGCCAAACAAAGTGCCATTGAGGTATCGTCAGTGAACTAGGAAAGCAAGGTACTATGCACGTTATATAATTAGACTTTTTACCTGTCCCTCTTGTAGACCCCATGTCCCTCCGCCTACTAGGTCTTTGACCGGATTAGCCACCAAATAACTGTGAGGCCTAAACTCAACATGAGCACCAAGGGCATCACCCATGGCCAAACCGAACATCGAGCCTTGGATACGATCTACTACATCAGTGCTGATTTCTCGCAATGGTGCAAAATCGCTCGAGCTGATTCCTAACTCATCTGGTTTCTTAATGGATGTTTGATCGGCACCATGAAACTGGCAGTCGAGCCAAGATTTTTCTATGGAAAGAAAAACATTAACACTTTTATCAGTCGATAAAATTTATTGTATTAAATCGCTCAATTGATACCAGCAAATACAAGGATACACTTTTTCTCGTAATGCCCAAAAAAGTCTTCAACACTTACCCTTTTTATTATGTTGTTTGTGAGACATCTTAAATAGCGTTTCTTTATCTACAAAGTAAGTAATCAAGATGACTTTTCAAAATAAGCCGTATTCGGCATCGGCATGCGATAGAACCACTACAAATTAAAAATTCGAAAGCAATAAAGTTGCATGTGAACAAAGAGTGTTTAACTTTTTTCGTAGCAATAAGAACGAATTGTGGACTATGAAACCGATAGGAGCAGAAGCATTTATCTAACTCGAGTAACATGTATTCATTGAGTATATTTGCAACTCTAACTTGTGGAAATTGATGTCAAGTCTTATTCATTACTTCATCGTTTCGAATGAAATTCATGATTAGGGCTATTTTTGGCATCGATGTTACTTTCAGTGTCTAGAGATTCAGAATGATCCCGTTCGGATATGTCTAGAGATGAAAGGAACTATTTTTCGACTCCGGCTTCAGTGAATTTAGCCGGTGACTAACTTTTTTTTGGGTAAACTCTTGTGAGGTTGTGGATGTGGTTGTGTATGGATGTGAGATTTGACTGTATGAGTGAGGTTCGGATGCGAAATGGATGTAATGTTGAATTGCCAGATTACGGTGGAGGCAATACTCCCATATGCTCCCTATGTAAATACTTTTGCACTTTCAACCAAAAGTTTTTCACTATACTACTGCTCTGAGGTGCATAATTTTTGCAACGCTTTCATTCACTAAAAAACTACCCAGTCAACTTAAATTTCTCGACACCATAGATTTGAGCGACACAGTCAATTCATTGGCTTGTCTTGACGTCTATTTACTGAAAACGATGCGTATTGATCTTGCTAATGTAAACTATCAGTAATAACTATTTGCAATCAGTATTGTAAATACTGAAAGAAAAAAAGTGAACAGATTCTCTGAATAATGGGGAAAATGCATTATTACCCATCAGCAAGAAGAAATATATGTTGTATAAGCGTCTCGAAATGAGTGCTACCTGCATCAACAAGTTTTACTCATGTCATATTACTCATCTTGAAAAGGTGTTTACCCTTTTATGTATGATAAAGCAAGTACTTGTTTTTTGTTTTATCATTGTGATGTATTACTTACCACAATCAGCAAGCAAAGTCAAACGGAAAAATTACCAACAGAGAGTTTTTGTTTTTTGTTGTTACCCTTTTCTCGTTGAAAACAAGCGGTTGCTACCATCTACCTTCTGTTTAAGACACGTTTCGCCAATATTTTGTTGCTTTTTGCCTTTTTCTTTCTTTTTTTCCCAGGTATTTACGGCAGCACAATTCGCACTATCAGCGAATAGAAGCCCATAGCGAGAAAAAAACGGTGAAGCAGAGAAATCAAACAACAAATCAGCTTTAGCCATTAAGCAAACGGTCAGATAAATAAGAAATCTGGTAAAATGAATATTTCTTTCTAGACAGATGCTTCCAAGAAAGTTGCTCCGCAGGAACACTTGAGGCGTGCGTGTGGGTATGATGAAGTTGAAGACCACAGCACCCATACCTGCACTCATAGCCAGACCCAGGCCCACTCCAACATCCATACCCACACCCTTCCATCAGAGTCACTCAACAGAGCGCTCATTCCAAAAACTTGCTTGCTCTTAATAAATATGCTTTTATCTATGTTTAAAGCTAAGAAAACAGATCTAATGATGATGAAATGTGTTTTTTGGAAGCTTGTTCCTACAAAGAGTTATCAGCAAAGCATTCCGATAATGCACTCAGGACTTGGTAATGTACTGATCATTTTCTTTGAATTCCTTAAAAAAGCACATTTTTTCATATCTTTGACAACAGTCGAAGGTGATCCATTGATATCAAACTGTAGCTCAATCTTCGATAACACCAGTATAATTTCCACTTTTTTTTAAAATGATAAAGAAGTGTTCCGAATATGATAATAGGCAGTGAGGCCCTTTTTTCATCATTTTTGCACAAAAAATGCTTGATTTTGACTGGCAAACAACATTTCTTCTCGTCATTATCCAAAACAAATGACATCTATTAATAGAGAATATAGAAAAACCTATAAAAAAATTTTGAATGGACAAGTTTGGGCGTCTAATATTCGAGAAATCTTCTGCTCAACTTTGGCCAAGCATGACCCTTTTTTAGCTGGACAGGCTGAGTAGCATTTCATCATTTAGNGACGATTCATTAGTCTTGATATTCTTAAAGTTTTACGGGGTAAGTTAAAATAGTATATCGTTGCTCTAAACTCGTCAGTCGAGGGTTAAGCGAATCGCACAGCGACGAGCGTTACTTGTATTTGGTGCAATTTGATTTATAAACCATTTTTCTCCTTCGAAGGTGATCCAGCTGCTGACACATAGAATGAACTGTTTCGCATAGATACATTCCAGCCATTTTTCTGGCAACTTCTTGTAGCCATAGTAAGCTCCGGCTAACTGACCATAGATAGCTGCTGTTGTATCTGTATCATCACCTAGATTAACTGCATTTAGTGCGCCTGCTTCGAACGAGTCCCCGTCACTCCAAAAAGCCCATAAAGCAGCTTCAAGAGCATTGACAATGTATTCTTTCCCTCGAATTCCCTTTTGATAGCCGCCTGATTTTTGATAGGATCCATGAGCAATCGCCATGATGTCAGTATGAAGGATTCGATCTCCAAACCATTTCCGATGCTCTTCATAAAATGTTGTACTAGTTAAGTCACTTTTCTTTGCACCGTTAAGGGCAGCTACGATAAGAGCTCCGTAATAACGACATGCATCATATGCTTTCTCATCTCCGTGGGTGATTTGGCCACTAATACCCGAGTAGTCAACAGCCAGTTCTGGACGTCGATAGAAGAAAAGTGGTACAGGTGCAAGACGCATCAGAGCTCCATTACCAGCCACACCCTCTTTGCTGCAATGCACATCGAATGTTTGAAGAAAATCACGATCAGATAGAGAATCCATTTGATCTAAGAGAATATGATGATCATGTGCAAACTTGTTTTGACGCTTTTCAAATTCTTGAAGTGATTGTCGAGTGGTTGTACCAATGTCGAAACATTGACCAGTCGACGACATGTAGCCATGTCGATACCACCATTTGTAGCGAACTAATTGATCGTATGGAACAAAGTCTCGACAAACAATTAGCGAATTAGCCAAACAAAGCGCCATGGAGGTATCATCGGTAAACTATAAAAGCGAACTACTATGCATTTTCTATCGTTAGATTTCCTACCTGTCCCCGTTGTAGACCCCATGTTCCGCCACCTACTAAATCTTTGACTGGATTAGCTGCCAAAAAACTGTTAGGCCTGAATTCAACATGAGCTCCAAGAGCATCACCTACGGCCAAACCAAATATTGAACCTTGGATACGATCCACTAGATCAGGGTTGATTTTTTGTAACGGCGCAAAATCTTTCTCGCCGATTCCTAACTCATCGGGTTTCTTGATGGATGTTTTATCGTCACCATGAAACTGGCACTCGAGCCAAGGTTTGTCTAATGAATGAAAAACACTCGCACTTAGACTAGTCAATAAAATTCATTGTATTAAGTCTTTCATTGCATGGCATGTAGCCAAATACAAGGATACACTTTTCTCATAATGCACGAAAAATCACTAATACTTACCCTTTTTCTCTTCTTGTTTGGAAGACATCTTCAATAGCGTTTCTTTCTCTACAAATAAATGATCATAGTGGTTTTTCGAAATAAGGCATATTCGGTATCAGAATACGATTGAATCACTTCAACTTAAAGATACAGAAGCAATGAAGTTGCATGTGAACAAATTATATCTAATCTTTTTGTAATTTTAAGAATGAGTTGTAGGCTATGAGACCGATAGAAACAGAAATGTTGATCTACCTCGAGTAATATGTATTCATAGAGTTATCTGCAACTTAAACTTATGCAAATTGATGAGCTTAAAAAACTTTTACTCGAAGACATTATTTAGTGTCAATATTGAGAGGTCATACTCTTCAGATGATTCAACCAAGAGTTATTCATTACTTCAGTATTTATATTGAAACTGACGACTCGAGTTATCTTTGACGTCGATGACGCTTTTAGTGACACAGAATCCGAAAGATCTTCTCGGGAAGTACCAAGAAATGCGCAGAACATTTTTTTGCTTCGGTTTCGGCCAATTTAATCGACGACTATCACTTTTTTGGGCCATCTCTCATGAATAGGGTTCCGACTCACACGATTTATGAGATACGTTACGTGAAGCAATAAAATATTTCACTAGAAACTTGAGTTCCAATCCCGGCATATTTTTTCTTCCAGGTTTCAGTTTTAGTTGCAGTGACTTCTCTTTCCCAAGGTCCTGGTCTCAGTCATTGGAACGGTGTGAATATGTGAATGTGGGCAATTGTGAAAAAGTCTCACATCTCACACCTACATTCCGCATGCAAAAGTTCAACAGCACCCAGGTCGATGATCTCGGCTTCCGGATCCGTAGATTTTCGGTAGGCTTCAGCCGAAAAAAAAGTACCGTTTCCTCACGGCAACTCAGAAAAAAGGTAGAAACTTGGAAGCAGAAATCCGAAGATCTGGATCGATGGACAAATTTTTCCAGCTCCGATCGGAAGCGACAGCATCCTGGCAAAGCCGCTCAGCAGATCCGATCACTGGATTTCGACTTCCAAGTACCTACCATTTCCCATAATTTTCCAGTCAGAAGCGGTTCGTATTTCTTGACCTGAGCATCTCTCACCTATACCCACACCCACACCCACACCCACACTAGCTCCTGTAATTTTCTTGAGATGCTGAAGAACCATGAATTGCCTTATTATGGCGAAGGTAATGCTCCCATCTACCTCCTATGTAAATAGTTTTGCACTCTCAGCCAATATTTTTTTCGCTGTGCTACTACCCTGAAGTTCAACATTCTCGCAACGCTTCTACTCGCTAAAAAAAATACCCACTCAACTTCAATTTCTCGACGCCATAAATTTGATCAACGCAGCTGATTGAATGACTAGTTTTGACGTCTCTTTACTGAAACCGATACGTATGCCTCTTGCCAATGCAAAAAATCAATAATAAATATTTGCAATCAGTATTGTAAGTACTGAAGAGAAAGAGATGAAGGATTCTCTGAATAATGTAAAAAGTACATTATTTCTCAGCAGCAGAAGAACTATGTGTTGTGTAATCGTCTCGTAAAGATTCCTCCCCACATCAACAAGTTTTACTCATTTCATATTATTCACTTTGAAAATTCGTTTATCCTACTATGTATGATAAACCAAGTACTTCTTTCTTCTGCAATCATGATCATGCATTACTTACCACAATCAGCAAGCAAAACCAAATGAAGAAAATTACGAGCACACTTTTCTCTGTTTCAATTATTGGCCTTTTCTCCTTGAAAATGAGTAGTTGTCGCCGTCTGACTCTTGCTTTATACTACTGTCACCGCTAAATTATTGGTTTTTTACCTTTTTCTTTCTTTTTCTCCCAGTTACTTACGACAACGCACATACACACAATCAGCAATAGAAGCACATGGTGGGAATAAAACAGGGAAGAACGGAAATCGAATAACAAGTCGGCTTGAAGTACCAAACGAAAAGGTTAGATAAATAAGAAATTTATTGAGCTAGCAGATACAAAAACGATTTCGCATCATTTGTCGAGTACCTTTTCTAGTGTACCATACTTCACAATAGATGGCGGTTTTCTATGCCGGTTTCTCAATATGTAGAATGTTGTCATGGATCTGATCTTCTTGTTCAACTTCCATGAAAATGATCGCACGTAGGCGATGCTGCAAATAGTTTGGAAAACATAAGTTAAAATCTCATTTATTTGAACTTTCATTAATAAGCCAAAACATTAAATGCCATGGCAAAGAGGTTCATGATCATTCATCAATAGTGAATCATTGAATTGTTTTTGCAATAAATATATTCATTTGACCCTCGAAATATTGAATCGATTATTGATTTCTTTTGAATTGATTTAGCATTAGCGCGATTCATTCTTATTATCATTGAATGGGCTATGATCTATCGGTCCAAAAACCATCTTTGCTTCGTTTATTCATCAATATTAATTTATTACATGCCTTGGACGTCACAAAAATTTCGTTGACTTCTTTGATAAAGAATAACAGTATGCGACTGTGAGTGTAGGTGGATGTGAAGAGAAGACTCACACCTGCATCCGAGTCACATCCCACACCAACACCCACACCCTAGCCACATTCTCCACCCACACTCTACCCACATCCTACACCTACACACACACCCTAGCCACATCCTCCACCAGCACTCTCCCCACACCCACCCACACCCACACCCACACCCACACCCACACCCACACCCACACCCCACACCCACCCACACCCACACCCAAACCCACACCCCACTCCCACGCCCACACCACCCACATCCAAGTTAAAATCTCATTTATTTGAACTTTCATTAATAAGCCAAAACATTAAATGCCATGGCAAAGAGGTTCATGATCATTCATCAATAGTGAATCATTGAANACTGGTGGACGGATTTGTTGAAATGGACGGTTTAGATTGTGTTCCATCAGTGCACTGCGTGTACCTTTCCACGTACATTTAATGTCGAATGCCGGACACGAAACTGTTTGATTGGGACATCGTTTTTCATGGTCATTGATGTTTCCCCGTTGAATATTCGCTTCATTACATCGTTTGCATCGTAAGAGAAGTCTCTCAAGTTGATTGAGTACAATACGAGTCGAAATCGGTTGAAATTCCTCTGTGGACGTTCTAGTACGACAAGTTGGACATGTTGATTGACGAGCGATCCATGGATTAATACATGTTTGACAAAAAGTGTGACCACATATTGCACTGACAGGTACTTGGAACGGTTGCATACAAAGTGAACATTTAAGTTCAGCATCGATAGAATTCTCATTCATATAATCATAATCATCGAGTGTACTTTTTTTGGCTTTCTCAGTTGCCATTTGTGTTTTGATGCCTCTGTCTGACTCTAAAACATGAATTGATTTTTACTATGTGATGACAAAAATAAAAAGTGTTCTTTTCTTTGATCAATATGAAAATAGCTGAATTTATTATTTGCTTCAGATGACGTAAAAATGAAAAAGAACAAGCAATTCTTTTACAAGAAAAATCCGGTTGACATAGTGATTTATGATACTACAGGACGTGAATGTTGTTGATGAATTTTTTGTCAGCTTGAATGAGGCATGTGCGCGTATTGAAATTATCAAAAAAATGAACATTGGTTCACTATATCAACTGTGTGTCTTTTTGAAAGAAAACAAAGAACAAGTTTTACAATAGAAAAGCTCTTTTTTGTTCAATGCTTTGAAAGTGTCTTAGTATTAATCTCATAACTCTAGATATATTTACGCTCAACTATTTGCTTCAAGTCATTATTCTTGTTACCATTGTTCCCCAAACTCGTAAGAATACCGAATGTACCAAACTATTACTTGAACACTCATGCATTTGATTGCGTTTCAACTAATTACAGAGGGCGTGCACATTGTAGGTCAAAATGGCGTGCAAAGCATGTATAACGCCACAGTCACACACGATTATATTTTAAGGAGGACATTTCATCGAAATCGCAGCGCTATAGATTAAAAATTACCACATGGTTCTAGTCAGGAATTTTCTTTTGACATTACATCAATATCAAAACTAGTAGATAGCGAGCAAGAAACATAGTGCTGATCAGATGATGCAGCACAATCCCAACTCTTTTCTTCATTTGAAATTGATCGAATTCTACAAAAAGCTTTGATCCGGCGAACTCAAGCAATTAGAATTGGTGTGATTATATCGATGCTCGTATTTTTGAATCGAGATTGTTGAAGGAATGTTTTCTAACTAGAATCGATTTCTCGAAAATATACCAAAGTATGAATATTTTATTTCAAATCGAAACAGCTTGAAAGAAAATCAAATTGATCTTTCGTGCAATCAGATTCCGACGACTTCCTAGCTGTATTCGGTTAGAATGTTCCAAAAGCAGATCAAAACATGTCAACGAAGCATTTGACAAATTCCGATTGTAAGAAAAACTCCAGAAAATAAACGAACTGGCCGGTTCTGTGCGAGTAAGTATGACTTTTCAGGAGAAATGCATTTGTTGCTGTATTATAGTACTGTGTTTTGTAATAAGAGTGTGGGTGTGGGACTCGCTTTTATCTACATCCTCTAAGCACGCCCACATGCATACCTAAAACATATAATTTGTTTATGCTAAATTTTCCATTCAATCGCATATTGTGTTTTGATAGAGCAAATATTTTTCTCTACAAATTTGCAGACCTAATTATTGAAACTTTTCAATTCCACTGATTTCTTTTTTTTTCTGAGAACTTTTACAATCGAAATAACTGCAGTAATGTTCAAGTAAAAAGAAACTTATTTTGCTCAGTGTTGAATACTCCTTCTACTGACGTAATCAAAAAAGTAAAGCTGAACTTTCTGTCTGCTTAAGAAAGCTGGAATTGGAAAATGTCTCGACGGCCTTTTACGTTATTTCAGTTTTAATTGTCTAAGTATCGAAGGTTTTGAGTGAAGAAAACAGCAACATTAAGCGGAAAACTGGCAAAGTGTTTTCAACTTTTGCTCACTGGACGAAATTTACAGAACATCGTGCAACAATGCATGAAGTTGGAATAAATGGCATTTGATTTAATATTGTAGACCTTCTATCAAGCATTCTACTCATACGAAAACTTGCCTTATTCAGTCATATGGGTAAAGAAGCAATAAAAATGAAATGTGCCTTCAATTTTAGTTCCCTACTTGAATTGAGGAACAATAATAACCTTTAGATCGTGATATGGATCAAGCATCATTTTGACTCAACAAAGCTATGAGGAATAAATCACGATCGAGAGAAAAAAGAAGCATCGAATTTGCCAGTATATATAACATTGAGAAGATTTAAGAAGCACAACGGCTTTTACTATATTTAGCAACAGATCCACACTTATAATACCAGTCTCTTATAGAAATTGCTGAAGATCAGTAAGCTTGATGCCCTCGGAAACGAGGCCTCCATTGGGTGTGACGAGCTTGAAAAGACAAGCGTCAGTAATGGTTGTTGCTTGACCGCTAATAGTAAAATCTTCTTCAACTTTGAGATATTTGCCGTGTCGAAAGTTTTTGATAGTTACATATTCACTATCGATTTGTTTTTCAATTGAAAAAATCTCCCAAGCATCAATAACTACACCTTTGACTTTGAGTGTGTCTTGCATGGTAAAATGCTTGTTGATTTCCGAATTTCGAACTGTGCGTCCTTGAATTCGAGGAGCCCAACCAAGACCCCACACTTGGCGATAGGTAGGATTGATTGTGGAACTATTAGCAAAAACTCGCTCGGTAGCAGAATCAAACGTAAGGTAACCACCGGTGACCTTGGACTGAATATGAAACGTGCCTTCGTTGTTCATGCTGCTGGGTTCAGCTCCTTGAGAACACGTGACAGCATTTGAGTACGTTATCGGATTACATCCAGGTAAACGATCTAGGGGCTTGACCATTCCAATGTTCTCAGTGAGTGGAATCGGTCTGGCCAGTTCACAATCATTGTCAACTCGAGCCTTGACAAATGGCTTCAGAGGTAGGCATCGTTCAGGTCTGTTCCCATGATCGGTATTCTCTGCATTGCATGAATCATCGACAATTACTGCTTTGAGTACGTCCGTGTCCCACCCATTTACCTACAGAATAAATTCTATTGTATAAATGCTATTTTTAATGCTAGGACCGATCTCACAACAAAGATAGAAAAGAATGCCCAAACTATAAATCTTTATAAACGCATAAAATAGGCAATGAGATATAGATGAAGAACTTACGAAGTCTCCGTGAAAACCGTAACCAGTCGGATCTCCATTGGACAAAACAAATGGTTGTGTACCTTGCCCATGTGGAAATTGATCCACTGAGTAGAAGGCTTCATAGAAGACTCCAGGTAGACGAACAGGATGTGAAGTTGGACAATCACCGCCATTGTAATGGGACGGATATGCCATATGACTGCGATGATCTGGTGAGTCGAGAGTTTTGTTGTTCCAACACATTGGAAAGAAAACTTGCATGCGAAAACCATTCTTACAAAAGTATCGATCGGTTTGAAATCCGTTTGTTTCAGGCGCAGACGGCATGCCGAAATCCGTCAAACTATTTTCAGTGTTTTAAATAAATGAAGAATAATTACGAATAATCATGCATGAATCACATCTACCGCACTTAGACATAGTGCTGATGATTATGCTCATGGTTGAATGGAGCAAGCATTTTTATATATTCCCATCGTTTTCAGAAACTCTGAATTCTCTAGGATTTATCAATACATATTCGGCCTTCTCAACAGTCTGATAGGACGACGCAAATCATACAAATTTTCTGCAGGTGCACAATGAAAAAGTGTTTGAAAGTGATCCAAATCGAAAAACAATTTTTCTGATACTCAGTCAACTCACCAAACGAACGAAATGGCATGATGTTCGATAATCGATTGGTTGAAGTTTCGTCGCATTGGATTACCGGCAATCATGCGAAGACCTTTGGGAAATGGCTGCCAATTAGGATTGGCATGTTGTGAACCTCCATCAATACCAGTTCGAGCAATATAATAAACTGTGAGACCACCATTCGGTACGAGCGAAAAAGTTCCATTAGGCCAACGATAGTATCTAATGCAATTAAAATAAAATTTTATCTAAGAAATTTCCCATTGTATCGAAGATTAAAACGAATTTCGATCATTTTCTCAATCGCTCACGTCTATATTTTCTTCTGTTAGATATCAAGTGAATATTGGAGTGTTTTTATCGACTGAATGACCCTAAAAGTTTCAAGGGTTATCATCAGATAAGTGAAATGTCTGAAATCATCACAAATCAATCTTTTGCTAATAACTATTAGGGAGCAAACACAATTTTGATTGGCAGAGAACTGCCAAGATGATCCGTTATATAATACTAGGACAAGAGTAAAAATGACTTCTTTTTCTCGAATTAAACTCACTGAGTATCGGAGATAGACAATGACTGATGAATATTTTGGGAGAAAAAAGCAAGAAGTTCTGTCGATTGAACTCACAAATCTGGATGCCAATAGTTGCTATTGTCCACTGTGTGAATCGAACATGTTGTACAACTGGCCGCTTTTGTTACTTCGTATAATTCGAGTTCGGACTGACCTTTCACTCCGGCACTAAAATGATTCCCACCCATCACCTTGTGTACATGTCCGGCCACAGTACCGGGAGTAACGATAGAATCAAGGCGACCTCGGTAAAGTGGTACACCACTACAGAATACTTTCCACATCGGATAGGTTCTAGCATGACCTAATCACCGATAGTTGAGCTGAGTTCGTTTAGATTCTATTCAATCATCGTTACTTACTGTTGTCGGTGAGAAAGGCCATGACCAAGAGGAGCAAACACAATTTAGTGCTGTCTGCCATTTCCATTTTGTCTTGCTATTTGGCTTGATCGTCCTTCGATTGTGAATGTTGCCTATCTATTGTTTTGTAGTGCTGATATAGAGAAAAAGAGCAAGATATATATTAAGTGTGAGTCTCAAATTACGCGTATTTTAAAGATTACTGCTTTTGCGCATAACTTAATCTTGCATGGAAGTGCACGAGAAAGGTAATGTAAAGTCCAAACAGATGGTCTACCACGCAGATGGAAAGTGTATTGAAGAGTCAAAATGGGGTGTGGGTCTGCATGTGTTGTCTTCATTTATATCGACGCCCTTTTATATGTTAGATAAGATTGTTGCTGACAACCTGAAGTAAATTTTGTTCTTTTATTCTGATGGTAAAAATCAGTCTTTTCTACTAATTGATTTTATTATTGTTGTTTTAAGTAAAGACATACATAATGATGCATCATGAACTCAAAAATTATTAATCATCGTTAATATTCAATTATTTTTTTTAAAAAGATCACAACTAATGGAACATATTGGTTAAGTTCGAATATGAGAATAACATGAACGAAGAATATTCAATGGAACTAGTTGATGTTCTGTTTTTGTTGTAAGTCATCATTTGTTGATTTATGATGTTAACGATAAATAATTAATTCATGATTAATATTTAATATTGAAAGATAATTATTAATAGTTTGTCGAGATTGTCCAGATAATATTTGAGTAGATCTTCTAACGTCAACGAAGGGTTCAATGAGTGATCAAAACTTGAAAAACTATATAACGGGTAGCCCAGATTAAATGAATCATTCTTATCGTTCAAACTTATTCAAAGTTTAGTTTTCGAATGATTCTCTACTTTTATTGAATAATGACACTAAAAAAATTATATTTTAGTTCATTATTCTATGTATTTTTAATGTATAAATAAAAAATTGTCATCTGCAGCTAGAATCATCAAAGAAATATATGCTCATCTAGATGAAAAGCTAATCCCAATGAACAAAGAATTAGTTATGAAGATAATTTCGATCTGCTAGTATGTTTTCCATTCTTAAAAACTATTGCACTAATTTAATATCCTAATTTTGAACACATCAGTGAATGAATGAAACTTATCGTTATCCTAAGTTCAATATATTTTTATTATTTTTTTTTTAATATTCAAATAAAATATATTGTACTTTTTGTTTAACAAAATATTTTCTATTTAATAGACAAACGGTAGTGGATGTCTGAATGAAGCTAAAAGCGTTATTGACATTCACACCCTAACCGAAAAGAGCAGTAGTGAGCTTCCACCAACATCAGGTGTTTAGATGTCTACGTGACTCTGCCGTTTCTATCACAGTCATTAATGATGAGATTTATATGTAGCATATTGTAAACACAATTTATTAATCATTTCATTTGTCGAGAACGAGGGATTGATTATAAGAATAATGCTGCTATACACAGGTATTATATATCAGGTAAGGGTAAGCTAGAAAGGAAAACATGATTTTTCTATCTTCTACTTTGAATAGTGAATTGTCATTGCGAAAAGAAATAAAATAAAATACTCAAAGCAATAGTCAGTCATGGTTAAATATTCAAATGCAATACAGTACATTCAATTGAATATTATTTCAAATGTTAGCCTCTTCGTTGTGTCCGACGGTTGCGATCTTTGACGGCGAGACCCAATAAAAAGATGGCATCCGGTAAATCATTGACGAATATCTCCATGTCAAATTTGTTGACAAAGAAATAAGATTCGTATCGTTTTATGAATTTCGCTAGGATAACATTCGGTTTCTGTTCGTCATAAAAACGTGTTGTTAATGAGAATGCATCAGACACCATGATCAAACGTCGACCATTCCACTGAATCGTAAATTTACTTTCAAATAATTGAAAATTTGCACCAATCGTTCCATTAATCCATTGCTGAGATCGACTGTCGAAAATGTCAAGTTGAGCTTCATAAAGGAACAACTTTAGTTTTGCCCTCAGTTCACCCACAACCATTTTCGACGGATAGGAAACGAGTTTGAGCGAGTGTAAAATTCCATAGTGTGATTCGATTCTATAGTAAGTAGTTTCACCTGTCGGATTGTAAATAGTAAATTCACCCGGCTTAAATCCATGAAAATAATCTTTACGAATGTAATATGATTTTACTTCTGATTGACAAAGAACAAGAGGAGCGAAGCAGAATAGTAATAACAGTAGCATGATTTTTTGGTACTGAAGACCAAAGCAATTTGTCAAACAACACTCGACAGATAATGATAAGATAGATATGTTGTCTGTTTATTTATTTAGTAATTGTTAATATCTACTGTGCCAAATGGTAGATACAAGTTGATAATTGACTGGCATATTTAACTAACATAGATAAAAAATACGATAATGTTTTGTGTCAACAGAACCGTCAATATCCAGATAAAGAAGACAAATACGACTGGTCTTACTGATTCTTATCTATGAGAAGTATTGAGGTCATTTTTAAAGCATAACGATGAAAAAAGTTCCAGTGGTACGTCCCTAAAAACTATATGTCAAATGCAATTTTCTATACAAGATTGAGGGAGAGACTGTCAGTGACTCTTTCACTTACTCATAGCAAGCGTCTCTGATAAAATCGATCTTCTGTTATTAGCCATTGTTGTAGATATGCACATGTGTAGTAGTAATCAATGAATTTCTCTTTGGTATACGCGAACACTTCAGGTGTGTCTATGAACCAGAGTTCAAACTGATAATTCATTACATTTGACGAAGATCATTTGAGTCATTTGAAAATAGTTTAATTATTTCCTTTATTAATTAAATACAAGATGTATAGCACAAAAAATAACGTTTTGAACTTAAAACTCTCTACTTCAAAGTAAAAAATTTTACAGGAAATAAAATAAACAACAGTGTTCTTTATTTCTTTGAATTTCATTGAATATTAGTACGAACAAAACGATAAAGACTTGCAAACGAATTATCTTTCAGCTAATATTTTAATATAGAAATTAAAAATAACTAATATTTCGATGTTAATCATTTGATAACTCTTTTAGTAATCTATAAACCATATATTTTTCAAAGTGAAAAACTATGTCCACTTAAAAATATTTTAGAACATTTTTCTTTCTTCGAAACAGTGACCTGCGATCTCCCTTACGAACTAAATGAAAAATGAATTCATCTATTCACCATTTGAATAAATAAAGAAAAGAGAAAAGGGAAAAAAATAAATGGTTGCTTGATTCATAAGAATTTCTCACTTGAACAATCAATTCAAGAAAGTTTTGTTTTTCCAGTCCCATCAATTTTTAACATGCTTTCAACATCGAAAATAACAATGAAACTTTCTTAAAAAAGCGTCACATGTGTAGTGAATTCATTGATTTACAACGAGAATGAAGATGAACTACAGTCTGGTGTACAAGAATTCTATTGGAATTTAATTTTGTATAATGGCTTTGATTATTCTCTGCAGTTTTTAGATATTTTCTATTTCAAGGACCTTAGAAGAGTTTATACGTATTATTTTTCACATATTCCAGCAATGATATATATGTATCGATCGATGAATACGCTTTCTTTGGTATCTTTTTTTATTGTACCCAAAGTCATGCTTGCGTAGATCTCTTCATTTCCGCTTGCTTATTGAAAGCAAACAAAGATTTTTTTTTACGAAACCGATCGTACATGTGTCATTATAAACAAGAATAGCGACCAACTAAATTTAGAAGGAAATAATGGAAAATTAATTATCAAATGTCACTAATATTACACACTACAAATCATCTCAATAGATGCATTGCAACTCGCTCTACTCTTTCCAATATATTGATCGCAAAATGAAGAAGACATAATGTTCAGTATTGATGGTAAAGATTGTTTAGTAGAACTGACAATTAGAATATTCGATTACACGTAAGAAAGAACAGTGAGAGTAGGCAAATTTCGCTCGCGTTCAAGATTAAGCTGAATATGATCTTTATTTTAAAATCAAATTTAATCATAAACAACAGTTAGATATTGTTATTATTTTGTTTTCAGTTGTTGTTGTTGGCCTTAACTTGAAAGTCATGGATGTTGATTATTCTAAAATAGTCAATAAAATAATGTTCTACTACTAAAGACTAAGGTAAAAAGATTCAATAACACAAAACATAAAATCTTTTTCGACGAAAGAAGTATTTTTAATTTTTATTTAGTGTAGCGTATTTGATAAACCATTGAGGTGAACTCTAACTATCTGATAAAGATTTTCTTCAGAAATCTTAAATCATAGATGAGAATATATTAGAAATATTGCTATTCTTCTCTCCAGCATAGATATGCAGTAAAAAGTTACAGAAAAAGATCAGTAAAGGACGATCATACACGATGTTTGATGCTAATGATTAATTGCATTATTTTATTTTCAAAGTAATTATTAATCGTATATACTCTATAAATAGTTGGAATATCCAATTGAAATTTAGGCAATAGTACTTCAATGGTATTCGTACTCTAAGATTGAAGTACTGTCAGGAATCCTCCGGTGAGCAACTTAAGTTTAATGACTAGTTATTATCTGATACAAAATATCTTATAAATTCATATACAGATAACATATGCACGCTTCTTTAGCAACAAAACAAATCCTATCATCAATAAATATCATGCCCACTGTTTAAAAAATGTAGAAAATACTCGAAATGAAAGATTGATGTAGATCATAGTGTCACTTGCAAATATATCAGATGTTTGTCTTGATCTGACATAAATGAGCTCGATTTTACATTAGTATATAGATAGACCAAGTCTATATACTTACCGCAGGTAAATTTTTGTATCCGATAATTGTATGTATCGGCTACAAATATATTACCATTTGAATCAAATCTCATTCCAAATGGTGATTTTAATTGATTCGGTCGACTACCTGGACCATCATTTCCTATTATTGTAATACCACTTGATGCACCGGGACTCCACTTTTGTATTCTATTATTAAATGTATCAAGAACATATACATTCTTTTTTATATCAACAGAAACAGCTCTTGGTAAAGATAATTGATTTGGATCACTACCACCTCCATTTCCACCTGCTACTGTGATGCCAGCTTTAGCATCTGTTATCCATTTTTGAACGCGATTATTATAGTAATCTGCTATATAAATATTACCATCTTCGTCTAAGTCTATGCCCAAAGGAAATCTCAATTGATTTGAATTAATGCCTTCCCCATTACCACCAGCGACAATGATGCCCTTAGTTGCACCGGGTGTCCAAAGCATCACACGGTTATTATCTCTATCCGATATGTATACATTTTCTTTATCATCCACATAAATTCCATAACAATTGCTTAATTGATTAAGTTCAGCACCTTTGGAGTTTCCTCCAGCAACAGTAATACCACTTGTTGCACCATTAGTCCATTTTTGCACGCGAAAATTCCCGTTGTCAATAATATACATATTATTATTTCGTACAAAAATGCCTACTGGATTTTTTAATTGATTCATACTAGATCCTGAACTTCCACCTGCTACAATAATTGAACTTTTAGCATCGACTAACCATTTTTGTATGCTATTGAAATTGTCCGGTACATATATATTACCATCATTATCAACAAATACATCTTCAGGAAGACTAATTTGAGCTACTCGTGTTCCATTTGTATGCCATGATATCGATGAACATGCTGCTACATTTTCTAAGGCAACTTGTACTTAAAAAGTAAACAGAATCATTATAAATCTCAATATAATTTCAATAAATCATCATATTGAATCGAGCAAAAAAATTTTCTATGAGTCAACTTTCTAAAATGGAATGTGTATCTTCAATTCTATATTGAATTCTTAAAACAATGCGATATGGAGAATATATTCAAAAAATTAAAGAAAATGTTTTACACCTTGAGTTTACGAAAAAGTTGAATTCTTGTTAAAAAAATAATTAATCGTAATTATAACGAATCAATAACAAAATCAATTAATCCTATTGTCGATTTTTATTCAAGCTTAGTAAATTTTAAAAAAAAATATTTTTCGAGACTTTGTTTTTAAATACTCATTCAACATAATGAAGAAATGACACATAATTACGAAAGAAAATACAGCATTTAAGATTTACATTTAATTTATTCTGAGATTATCATCCAAGGGAGAGACTCCTAAATAATGGTGATCACCGTAATTGTCAGTATGTTTCACTCAATGAATATGTCTTCTGCCAGTATTAGAATAAATGATAATTAAACAGAAATATGATTGATATTTTTTTTCTCATTGATTTTATCATTTAGTTCTTTTTAACTTTACTGGGACATGTTTTGCAACCAAACGAATACACCGATTTGTTTCAATTAATAGTATTCAAAAAGTTAAGATTCAATGATCAAGCAGCATCAAACGTGTCTCATCTGAGTTTAAAAGACATAATGACAAAATCAATAAGAAAAACACATTCGAGACACGTATCTCAACAAAACTGAATATTTTGAAAATTGAAGATAATATTATTTTCGTTTGATTATCATTTATTCTAAAGATGAAAAAAGATCCATTCATTGAATGAAACATACCGTTAGGTGCAGAATTTCATAATGAATTGTTTGAAGAAAAAAAATGAACGTCTGAACGATGAAAGCAAACCGAACTAATGACCAAGTATCGGGCAGATATTATTATTTATGGACTATCGATATTGTATCAATAACCTTACCTCCTATTATTGCAAGACAAAATAATACGAAATGATTTATCATAATAATGTTAGCAATCTCACAAAACAATGATGGTAGTGATTTTTTGGGTTACCTCATAGAAACTCAATACTTATATATAACTTAAAAAAATGATGGGTCATATTAGATTAAGGGCTTAAGTTTAAGACCCAGATGACAAATCAAAAAAACCTAATTTTCTCTCAAAAAAGAAACACATATGTGTTTGATTGTATGAATTGCACATTTATCAGATACTTTTAATAATGAAATTAGAACGAAATGATTACTAGAAAACATATATGTAAAATGAAACCTTCATATAAGAGAGAAATATTTGAAAATAGAATAAAAACGTTATATATCAAACAAGTGAAAACGTAGTAAAGGTGATGATTGTTTAAGGATCATGCAGCAACGAAAGGATATGCCTGAACATGCTTTAGAATAAGTCATCATGAAAAACCCAATCTATGAATTTCTCTTCAAATAAAACGAAAAGTACTGATTACAATTTCTGGAACAGAACGATTTAAAGAGAAATTTAATGTTTTTTTATTTGTTTATTTTAGCTTGTCTCTTCAATCAATTTGTTTGACAAATGCGATTTCCTATTTTGAAAAATCATTGTGAATGAATCGAACAATAGATTATTGCATCGTGAAGGAACAGATTTTGATCATATGTTGTGCTATATAGTGACAGAACAGAATAACATATATGACACAGTACTGCAAAACAAAATGCATGATTATGATGAATCACAAGGACTAGTTTAATCGAAAATGCATTGCTACTGCTTTGAGAGTCGAATAGACCTTTGTTTCTGTTCAAAGAGAATTTTCTGTCTCTTATATACATATTATATAGGTCTATTGAAGTTTACTTCAAGTCATTTATTGTCTTTCATCATTTGTTCAAAATAGAAAATTTTTATAGTACTGTTCGGATGAATTCGATAGGCAATCAGTTCATACTGCATCTGAAATGGATGCAAATTGAACAAATTTGATTATCAATGAAATTAGAAGCTTAATTATTTTTCGAAATTTGATATTATTCCCTAAGAAAAACGACTGCTAAAAGATAATAGTCACTTTTTGTCGTTACATTACTATTGTATACAAATTAATAAAGATCTAAAGAAGTAAAATAACAGGCACACGAACCTTTGGCGAAATGCCGTGAATTTTTAATCGTTTACTGGCTCATTTGATCAGTCACTACAAGAAAAGCATTGCATTGACATTAATGATTGAAATTGGTGCCAACATACAGATCACGTAGCATTGTATTCAAGTATAGAGTATTTTTCAAGAGCTCAACAAAGAATGATTCGACGAACAAATATCGATGGCAAGAAATTAGGATCCTTTAAACTTGAGCAACAAAACGAATGATCCTATTTGACATTGTCATGATAGATCCAATCAAGATTTTTTTGCATCATACACTTGCACTAAAAGAATCAGAAATTTTTTATCAGTAATGCAGAAAACTCGGCTAGTGTCATGCTCAAGATCTTATATAGAGAAGTTTAATTGAAAAGAATACGATTCTCTTTCGATGGTAAATCACTACTATCGACAAGACAATCAAGTAGCGATAGGATCATTAACGATGTTCGTGTACAGAAAATCTTCCTCCATTGATGCTCTTGCTATTGAACATTCAACATTAGAAATTTTGGTCAAGTAAAATTTATAGTAGCAGTTCGAGCGATCCAACAATTACCTATAGCGATTCATCAGGTGTTTTGCAATAAGAATAAAATTCTTACAATTTCAATTTTACAAATACGTAGAATATTTTCATATGAAAGAAGGAATGTATCCTGAAGGACGTACGAAAATATACAAAGATGAAAGGATCACTCAAAAATAACATTATATAGTTTTAGTTTCACTATCTTTACATTTTAGATTCGTCTTTTACTATCTCTATCGGATATACTTACGTTGAACAGATTTGATTATGTTTATCATTGCTCATCTATGCATATTTCACATTGTAACATCTTGAAAATAATAACATGATTTACTATGACTCAGTGTTCTGGTTATTCATCCAAAAAAGGTATTCAATGACGTATATTCAAAATTATATCAATATGTCATGCAAGCAATACCAGAGAAATTAGTGAAAAAAAAAGGAAGTATGGACATAATTATATGTATATATGGAGACGATGAAAAATAGTTCACTAGATATGAAAATATTCAAGGATATATCAAAGCACATTTTGAATAAAAACTTGTTCATTTTATTGTTGCTTGTCTTTGAGTGTTGAACTGCATATATTTTCAACGATTAATATTGCTCTTATTTAATTTGCAAGCAAAAAATATTTCTTTTTCTGTCCTTTTTACTCTTATTTCATTTGCAAGCAAAAAATATTTCTTTTTCTGTCCTTTTTACGCTGATTAATTTTTGTTTACTTCATGACAAATAAAAAATGATATCGCATGATTGAAGGTTATTACAAGTTAGCGTCACACAAATTTGCATTAATTATAACGATAAAAATAGCATGACGTCATTAGTGATACTCGTTGATTTACACTCGCTTGACGTGAGTGTTTATCATGTGTGGTTATTTTTATGTTGGAAAAAGTCTATTTCCTTTCGTATATTCAAAAAAGTGCATCATTCTTACATGTTTCGCCTACTTTTTATGCAGAGAAAAATCATTAAAACAATTTTTGTATAGAAGTATATAAACCCTTTAAAAGCACTATTTCACTTAAATGGTGACGTCTATTTTCCTTAGTAATATACATATATGAATATTACGATAATGTTCAGACATTCTATCATGTACGGTCGGATGAAATGATAAACATTCACAAACCTGACCTAATAAGTGCTTCAGTTGAAAGCACAAAGGGTACATAACTATCGACATAATCACAATTTAATACAAACAGAGTAAGCTGATTATTATTTCCCTATTTGTATAATGTGATCTCTTTTTCACAAGTCTTTTGCAAAATGTTCATTCGCTTTTCAAGACTGTATAAAATTTTATTTCAGTCTATTTTGTATGTGGACTGACATTTACCTAACTGAAAACATACCATTTCTTTTAATTAGTCAATTTTGCAGAGTGAAGTTTGTTCTACGAAATATTTTATCGACTTTTCCTTTATATATTGAAGCAAAGATTTTACAACTGTGTCTTGTAAAAGCACATATATACACTCATTGACTTTTATAGATATTTGTGACAGTTATTGGATTTTCGTGAGCTTAGCCTTTTTTTTTTTTACATATAATCTTCAAATTGATTACTATTATGGGTGATGAAGTTCAATCGTCTATTATGCTTCCTGTATCGAACAGCAATGACGAAAATCGTGAACTTGTTGGATTAAAATTGAAACGTTTTGAAAATGAACCAAGTGTGAGTGTTGTGAATGGTATGTCAGACAATGACATAGATGATGATCCTAAAGACAAGAAACTCTTGCGTAAACTTGATCTTTATATCATACCTACTATGACATTACTTTACTTGCTCAGTTTTCTCGACCGAGTTAATATTGGACAAGCCAAACTAAATGGTCTGACGGCAACATTGAATCTCTCGAGCATACAATACAATAATTGTTTGAGCGTATTCTTTATAACTTATATTTTATTCGAGATTCCATCGAATTTAGCACTGAAAAAATTTCGACCAAGTCGATGGATACCATTCATTATGGTTGCTTGGGGTTTTGCAACAACTTTTATCGGCTCTGTTAATTCTTACAGTGGTCTTATCATTTGTCGACTTATATTAGGTGCGGCGGAATCAGGCCTATTTCCAGGTTAATATTCATAAATTATGCACATGTATGTTTTTTTATAGTATTTTCATTAGGAATCAACTATTACCTGTCAAGCTGGTATAAAAGACGTGAAATATCGTGGCGTGTTAGTATTCTTTTCTGCGCTGTGTCACTAGCTGGTACATTTGGTGGTATTCTTGCCTATGGAATCAATCATATGCATGGTTTATGGGGTCAAGAAGGTTGGCGTTGGATTTTTTATGTTGAAGGCTCAATCACTGTCGTCATTGGAGCATTCTCTTATTTTTTTATTAATGATTTTCCATCGGATCGACCAAAGTTTCTTACTGAAAATGAATGTAATCGTGTCATTGCTCGTTTACGTACGGATGCCGGACCGGGTGCTAGCGAGCATTTTAGTTGGGCTCAAGTTGGTTCGGCATTTTTAGATTGGAAATTATACGTTTGGTCATTATGTGGCATCACTATAACTATACCATTTCTTTCACTCGGTCTCTTCTCTCCGACCATTATCGCTAATCTAGGTTTTGTTACTTATCAAGCACAACTTCTCACTGCTCCACCATATGCTTTTGCATTTATTACTACAATGATCACTGCCTATTTCTCTGATAAATATGCTCGTCGTGGTATCTTCATCATGTTCTGGTCGATATTTAGTACTATTGCTTATATAATTCTTATTTTGGTCGATAATTTTGCCTTAAAATATTTCGCTATTTTTATTGCAGTTGGTGGATTGTCACCATGTACGGCAATATGTATCAGCTTTCTCTCGTGTAATGTTAGTCCTCATATGAAACGAGCCACTGCACTAGCATTCATGTTGTCTATGTGTAATGTTGGAGGAGTTATCGGTGGTCAAATTTATAGATTTCAAGATGCACCTCGTTTCATAATGGGTCATTCTATCAATCTTGTCTGTTGTATTTTGAGTTTTATTACTGCTGCTTTTCTCGTTACTTATCTTCATATGGAAAATCGACGACGTGATCGTGTATACGGAAAAGTCACAAGCTATACACTGACGAATGACAACACGGACACGGTAGACATATTTGGTTTGGGTAGCGTCGAAGATCGACAACGATGGGGTTATGAAAACATGTCTGAGAATAAAATTCGTAATTTAGGCGATAAACATGCTACATGGCGATATATATTATAACAAGTGATTTCATTTTGTTTCTTGAGGAACTATTTGTATTTAAATTGTATATCAATAAATGAACAATGTCGATAAAAAAACAAACATTCTTGAGTACATGAAAATAAGATTCCTTACATATGCTGCAAGTGTTTCTCAGACTTGTCTTTCTAAAAATATATTTCTGGCTTGTACACAAAGCGAATCAGGAATACGACAATCGAACTTCAATGAAAAAGAACACAATGAAAATAGGGTGTGGTTTTTCACTTCGCTCACACCTTATATTCATTATGTTAATAAAAAGCGGTGATTTGACAGAAAATAGGATGGTGAACCTTTCAAAAACAAAAGATTACAAAGGCATTCTTTCGTATAGGATTACAATAGTCTTTTTATTAGGGATAGATCATTTCACTATCTGTTATCAATATTTAAAATCGTCGATCTTGAGTTTTCCAGCTGATTTCAATCTTCTCATTAAATTTTCGATGGATCTTCGCAAGATATAACGTGGGCGTACGACAAACGCTGCATCAATAGACCCTCTTCACGCATTCGGTGGACCTGGGAATTTGCCTTTATATTTCTTTCGGTTGTGCGGTGTGCTTCCACTGCGTAATGGGAAACTGGCATAGTATTTCACTTAAAGCTATACTGGCGAGATAATACCAAGGGGGAAACGGCGGATTTTGGATTTTTGGGATTTTTTGGGATTTTTGGGACTTTTTTTGGATTTTTTGGATTTTGATAATCCCAAAATCCAACACCAATATCCTGTTGAAGATACAGAAATTTCGAGCTGAAACTTTGTTCATATGTAGGCTTCGTGGTTCTTAAAATATTCTAGAAGTTTCAACGCCAACGGATGTTATCTTCTGGAGATAATGCGATCGTAAGAAATACTCATATTTCACATCTTGGTCAGAAAATCCACTTTTATTGAACGTTGATTATCTTGAGAAGGAAACATCCGTTTGCATTGAAACTTTCAGGATATTTTAAGGATCAAAAGCTCTACATATGCTGGAAACTTTAGCTCGAAATTCTTTCATTTATAAGAGGACATTGCCGTGAATTTAGGGATTTTCTTGGATTTTCTGAATCCTTTTGGNGGGCGCGGGGGGCCCCCCCCCCCCCCCCCCCCCCCCCCCCGGGAAATTTTTTACACCGTTTTTTTTTTTCCCCACCGGGGGCCCAAGGGGCCCCCGGGGGGGGGTGCCCCCCCCCCCCCCCCCCCCCAGCTCAAAATCCTGGCTCCGCCACTATTTTGACAACTGATGGACCTAGAGAGTTGAAATTTTTAGAAAATACACATAGTCGACAAAGTTCTACTCTCCATAAAAATGCCAAGTTTCTATCTTTATGCTATCGAGTTTTACACAAAAACAATATTGATCGGTAACGAACAGACAAAGAAGTCCCTCGTTTTCTGGATGTACGTATGAGAAGTATAAACATGAGGAGATACTTTGAGTTCACGGATTAGGTGAGAGATGGTTTTGTAGCTAACAATTCTGGCTATCTATTGATTAAAATATAGATGTCGATGCATTGAAAAATGAGCGACCAATAGCCTGTATATCAAGTAACGCACAGACAATTGGCTTCAAAAGGCAAAGTTTCGGTCGATTACATTGGTTTAGAACATCAAAATAATCATGCTGATTCGTTTTCGAAGCTGCCACTAGTGTTGTTATATTAGAAATGTTTTCAGGTTTGTTTAAGCCATTTTTGTATGAAAACTATAGATTTAGGCTGGCAACTGTGATTTCTTATCTTGATGTTGCACAGAAAATGATGTAGATCGACGCAGAATGTATGACAACCTACTAAAACCTTTGAATGAGTTAAATCAGTTATTTTGAGTCGAAAAATATGAGTCGTCAACTTTAGCCACGTCGGTTAATCATTAGCCGTTTTTATTGTATACTTTACGTATTTTTAATAACGTTGTAATTTACATATGTGATCTTCCTCTTTGGTCGTACTTCATTGATCATATTACGTGATAAATGTTGTATTATATCAACCATTAATCCTTAGAATTTGTTTTATTCTACATGGTCTTTTTCAAAAGTTTCTTTTAAAGTGTATATTGAAGGCAATTGTCAAAGCTTTTTATTTCCTTTATATAAATACTTATGTTTTGTGGCAAATGATCTCTTTCATGAAATTTTCTTTTTTTATCTTCATACTGATAAATACGAATCAAATACAAAATTATTTTCAACTTATTAAAAAACTGTAATCATTTTATAAATGATTTTTATTGATGAATTTTCTCGGTTTATAGTATTAATGTATCTATCATTAGAAGAATCAAAGTAAAATATCTTACCAGTAAAAAGACTTATAGCTGTTTCTGCTTGAATATTGTATAAACTAATTCCATATAAATTGGGATAATTGGTAGCACGAAGAATACGCTCCATTGAAAGTGATTCGAGTTGAAGCCATTGAATTTTTTGATGAATTTTAGGTAAAATATGTGAACAAAATCGATCAAGTATTGGATCAGGTAATGAATAAACAGAACCCTTGCATGGAGATAAGAAAAGGGCCAATTCATTTGTAAAAACAGAATCTTGTGCAATTCTATTTAATCGTTTATTGACATTTCCTAAAGAATAAAGTACTTCGATATTAGCCAATTTTTTAAAAATAATCATAAGAGTTTCATCCGGTAAATCATTCAATTGAACGCATGAATACTTCATGTTCATCGTATACATGTCAGGATTAATATAAACATGCTCAAATGTTCTCTCTGACCGATGTCGTCTATGTAAACAAAGACACATTTTTGTATAATTTAAATTGACGATGAATGAAAGGATCACCGATGGAATAATTTTTTTTCTCCCTGTTCGCTCGACAGAAGAGAGAGTCATACGAAAAAAAAAAAATTTTTTTTGTATGCAATCATCAATTGATCTAAATATAATGAAATTGTTGTTTTTTTAAAGAATACTTTTTCATCCGTCAAATAAAACTTTATAAACATTCACAGCAAGTCATAGAACCTAGAAAGTGTTAACTTATATCGATCAAGTTGAGTTGTTTTTATAAAATGAATAATAATTTTGAACAAGTAATTTCAAATCAGCTCTTTCTCATAATTTATAAAAGAATATGACAAAAGGAAACAATCACATAGTTTACTTTCGAACAATTAAATTCGCCAAATGAAAGAAGTCAGGTGCAGTGTTTTTAATATTAAGTATTTCAAGCAAAAGCAAAGTACCCGAGGTACTTACGATTTTGAAAAAGTACTGTGTTTTGTACTACGCTGGAAAAAGCACAGTACATCGATCGTACTTTAAAAATTAATAGCAGCACTTCACTTATTTGTTACGGCATTATATAAAAGTGTCTCGTTTTCCTCTTGGTTATGTGTTCTAATTGTGGACAAAGCCAAACAGAATTTTTTCTTCTAGTCCTGTCAAATTCATAAGTGAAGCTTCTTGTTTTCTTTTCAGATTTTGGATCTTCTTTTTTATACATATTTTTGTTTTATTCTTGCATTGTATACTACAGGGTGTTCCAAACATCTCGCGGGAAAAGTAAATTCTTATAACTTTCTTTGTCAGTTTTTTTTAAATTATTTTGTTTGATAAACAAAACATTCTTGTATTTTACAGTCAAAATTTCTTTTTCTTTTTATCGTTATAAAATTCTCACTTTTACATATTCCTTCATAGAAGACTTGTTCTTCATTAAAATGCTAATGATGTGATAGTGATTTTAGAATGAAGGAACGCTCAACTGTATAACTAGTCATGTCAATATGACTCGCTACCGACATATGTTCACCCAAAAATTACTCAAGTCTTAAAATAACGAAATATTTCGTTTGCACTATTTATAAAATTTTGATAAGACATGATACGCTGGCACATATATACCAAAGCGTGACGGAACTTCATATGCCATGTTGTTTATTAAAACACTTTAACACATGAAGTTTCGTCACGCTGTAATACCGTACTTCAGCATTTCATGTTGTATCAAAATTATTTCTTTCTACGTAAGACGCAAATCGACAAAATCTAATTTGTCGATTTGCGTCTTATGTAGAAAAAAGGATAAATTTAAAATATGCGATTATGGAAAATTGTAGTGTCAAATCTCAGTTTCACTATGAAATTAATTTGATTTCTCTTTGTATACGATCATCTACTTTTTCATTGAGAGTTTGGAAAGTATCTAAATTATGATCTTATACTATGTAAGTAAATCAAGTGTTTAATATTTAGATAAGATATTTTTTTCTTTAATAATTAATAAAAAAAAACTTGTTATTTGGACGAAAATATTTTTTTTATGATTGTTTTAGCGTGAATTTTTCGGTATGAGTTGTATTTCATTTATCTATGGTATATTAGCTAGTCGAGAAGATGTTTGTCTTTTAAAATCGTTTCATGATGATTATCGTTTTCAACATAATTTCTTTCGTCTACCATTTTTTTGTGACTCATGTAAATTTCATCATGGTCGAAACTATGTTATTTATTGAAAGTCTATTTCATAAAAAAATTCTTGTCTTTTTTTAATTTTTATATATAGATGATTTGTTATTAAATATACATATATAACATATATGCGAGCTGATACATATGAAATACATTTTCCAATGTTAGTAGATCGTGCTTTTGAAATTTTATCTGGTTTTCGAAATACTCGTACATATAATTGTATTAAAATAAAAAATTTACAAACAAGTATTAAAATAAATTTGGCTATATTATCTGAACATATTAAATCGAAAATGAATACAAATAGTTATACAGGATATATGCAAAGAAATCCTCAATTAGCTCTTACGAAAATAATGGAAGAATATTGGGAATTAGTAGCAGCTAGTGAAAATAATAAAATTTATGAATGTAGTGATTTATTTGTTCATATTTTAATGTATTTAAATAGAATAAGTTTATCAATAGAAGATATATTAAATGAATTAAATAAACGACGATGGACATTAAAAACATTAATTCAACGAAATGATTTATATGATGAAAATCAAAAGGAAATTCTTATTGGAATAACAAATTCAAAATATTTTGATAAAACAGATAAATTTGCTGAAGATGATTTAGGTATTAAAATCATTCGATATTCAAATAGAAATCTTTTAGTTAAAGGAGAAATTGTTAATCAAGAGAAATTTTCAAAATATTTTCCTTATGATAAATATATCAAATTATTATTATTACCTTGTAAACCAAAAGATATGATTTGGTTATTAGCATCAAAACGTCTTACACATATAATTACTTATGATACCATTATTGAAAATTATCCGAAAATTTCTACTCTTATTCATCAAATAATTGATCCAACTATTTGTATTGCTTTAATATCTCGTCAAGAAGATATAATAGAACCAAATAAATGGACGAATACAAATAAACCATTAATTGCTTCCGAATATATTTGTCAAGTAACAAAATATTTTCAAGATAATTCTATTAATCCTGATCAATACTATTTAGATAAAATAACAAGATCATCTGAAGCATTTTTAATTAATACCAACAAATATTTATTAGCTGATGCTGTTGTACAAACTGGAAAAACTATTCAAGAAAATAATTTACGTATATGGAATATAATTATATCAAAAGGGCAAATACATATTGGACTTTATGAATATTTTAATTAATTTATCAATAAGATTGTGCATTAATAAATAAATACTTTCGATTAAATATTGATTTGAAAATCATCGCTAACTGACAAAAATACTTAAACAATAGAACATCTTTCTATAGATATATCTGTTGTTTATATTTATTTTTTAAATAATACCCTATATTTACATATGATTTCATATTATAATCTTAATTAAATAAATATATTTCATAGCTTATTGATTTTATTATAATCATCAATAATACAAGAATTAACAGAGTTAGGATTCAAAATTAATTCATCTTGTAAATCCATCTATAGAATCCCTTCTCATTTATTTCAACCAGATATTTTACATTTTGATTCATTTATCAAATTAAGTAATCTATATTATTTTGATATTCTATGATCTTATTACAGTATATTTTAATATTTTATTATTTCACTTGTTTCAACATAAATTGATTCTTCATTAATATATACTAAAAACGTAGTCCTATACAAGATCATTAAAGTTACATGATTCATCTTTTGTCATTAATTAGAAAAAGATAGACATATAGTTCTATTTAAAATATATGATGATAGATGATAAGTACTTTTTATTTAAGGTAAAAAATTCACAGACAGATATGATTTATACTCAGAAAAAAAGATATCACCAGTAATGTCTCTTAGTAAAAAAAATACTCTTATTCATTGTTTTTCTCGCTCGTATTGTCACTCAATATAAGTCGTGTATTCGATGTCGCTTTTATAGAATTAGGATCATCCTGTCAAAAGGTTAAAGATATAACGTATTATCGTATAACTATGTGTACACTTGGCCGGTGTGACAACTGACTATTTCAAATGAATATATTACACTGAGGTAACATACAGTGGACGCCAAAAGTCTTGCGCCACTTTTTTGTTCTAGATTGCATTTCCAAAATACACAACATAAATTCAATTTTCTTTTTATCTTCGGATAGCGGAGCTCGAGTACTATATGTATGTATATGTTTGAAACGAATAATCATTGAATCTGAAATACAAGAAAAAAAACAATCTTCAGTACTACGACAAAAACCGCATAAAAAAGGCAAGCTGATATCGCTGTTATGATTTTGAGTAAGATGGCAGTAATGCAAAAATCGAATAAGATTTTGTTTGATATTTTTACATGAACTGATAGATCTCGACGAGCTCTACAAAAGTGTCTATATTAAAATTTTTTAGAACCTTTTTTGTGGGACAAAAAATTACAAAATAATTGGATGTTTTATTTTTTGTATACCTAAAAAGCATAAAAATACGATTTTCTTGTCATTTTTTGTCCCAAAAAAGGGTTCTAAAAAATTTTAATATAGACAGTCTTGTAGAGCTCATCGAGATCTATCGACTCATGTAACAATATCAAACAAGATCTTAATCAATTTTCGTATTATTCCAATCTTAGCGGAACTGTTAAGTCTGAAAACAACCATACCGTTTTGTCTTTTTTTATGTAGTTTTTGTCACAGTACTAAAGAATGTCTTTTTCTCCTGCGATTTCGATTCAATGATTATTCTCATTTGAAACATATACATACATATAGTACTCGAGCTCCGTTATCCGAAGATAAAAAGAAAATTGAATTTATGTCGTGTACTTTTGAAATGCGAACCAAAACAAAAAAGTGGCGCGTGACGTTTGACGTCCACTGTATTTGAACATGAAATTTACTGAAACAAATGGTCTTATGTCAAGAAAATATTGTCAATAGCATAGTCAGGATCTTTGAGAAATTGTCAACATAAAGATATTAATTCATGACTATTTTCTACAACCGAGTAAAACTATCACAATATCGTTATGATAAGTTCCATTTTCTTTTTCTGATTTGAAAATATAGCTTAGAAGTATAAGTGACGGTAATTTTCAAAAGTAATATATTTTTATAAAACATCTGTAATTACTGTATTTTCTTTCTGAGAGATAGTTTAGAAAGATTGCAATTTTTCAAAAGAATGAGTGTACACTGTTGCCAAAGATATGCGAGATATTCTGTAAGCTTTTACTTTTGTAGTTTTCACCAATACATTGTAAATGAGAAATAAATTTAAATTTAAAAAAAAAGTCTATTTAGAAGAAGTTTTCCAGTGTTTTTCAATTATTATTAATAAGTGATCACAACTAGAATCGACAGAAGATAGAGGACTTTCTATGAAACAAGAATTCATATTTGAAATACTGTCAAATTCCATTCGAAGAAGAATTTTTAAAATGAATATAAAATTATTTGAAAAATCGAAAAACCACGATAGAAATTTCATGAATACGTGTTTAAACAATGATTATCTTTAAACTAATTGTTAAGTAACACGTATATTGATTGATAATGTTGAAAGATTTCTTCTTCTTCTTCAATAACTTCAAAACAACATAGTTATTTTTGTATGAATGTCACATAAATAATCATTCATTTTGACAATTGCTATCGATGACGATAAATTCTATTGTAAATGTCTATTTTGACTATGAAAATATTTGAGAATTGCTGTTATTTTCTTTTTTCTTAAGCGACACGTATCAACATTCAGTTCATAAATCTAAAAAAAAAAGACTGTTGTCAATAAGAGCGATAAGACATGATAATCAACTTCAATTGCTTATCGAGATTTTGCATTGTTCAAGCGTCTATAGCGTCATTATTGAAATATGTGAAAAATCAAGAAAGTGGTCTGTCTGGTTTTTATTTCCGAATCAAATGATAAATACTTTTATCAGAATAGAAAGTCAAAAAAGAAAGACCTGCATCAAAAGTAACAATAGTCATTCAAATTATATCTCGATCTGTTGCATATTATGATTTAACACGCTTCGTTTCAATACGTTGAATAGAACGTGCATGCATCGATAGCGGTCCTTTTATAGCAGGTTTATCATCAATTATGAGTATTTCTTCTTGAAGAATATCCCCGTGCAGTCGTGTACTCGAGATGAAAAGTAAATTGTCATATTTGAATGGTGTAACAAGTACATCACCGATCCATCGTGTCTCAAGTTTAACACCATTACCTTCATCAATAACAAGATCGTCAGCACCTTGGCCGCGACACAGACGATAGTCTTTTACTCCTTGAACCTTTCCGTCCTGTAAATAAGTGTTACGCCACATCGCACAAGTATTGTCACTGGTTGGGTAAGGTCCCATTTCCGTTAATACATCTACAGGAGAAGATTCGGATCTCGTTGGGTAATTTATTAGTGAACCGTGCCAAGTTCCATTCCAGTTGGGATTATCTAAATTTATGTTTAACTTTCTATAAGCACTTTTTATTATAACATGAAAACTATCTATTTAAGAAAAAGCTAAAAATCTATCGACATTCATCTTTCTTTTGTTCAGACAAATAGTTATCTGCAGTTTATTTCTTAATCTTTCACTTCTCATGCTACCTCGGAATATTGGATTTTGTTGAATAAATGAAATTTTGAAATTAAATCCAAATGTAATTATTCACGTACCTTTATTATCTGTAGATATGACGGTCATAGTCATTAGAGAGATCAAAATTAGTGTGCACAAAAGGAAAGAAAACATTCTGTTGTCAATTTGTATGCGATGTAGGTATGAATATGAAGAAATTCGATTCAATTGATATTTTGCTCTGTATGAATGTTATAAAATGTCGACTTTATTTTGTTTTTCTTCAAATAAATATGTGCATGGTTTAAATATCACAAGAGGATTAACATATCAATGTAACGCAATTTTTTTACTTTTCTTTTCTTCTTTAACAAGAAGAAAATCGATTATCAGCAAAATAATACAAAAATTGCAAACATCTGTCATCATCGAAGTTTTTGTTTGACATAAAAATTAGAAAATGATTATCTATTTTCATGTAATTAAAAAAACAAGAGAAGTTCAACAAGAAATAGTTTTTCATATTATAAAAAAGTTTAATCCTATGGAGTGGGCCAGAAGTGCTGACTCGACTTGTATAATTGGACTCATGTAGATAGAGAACGCTTACAATTACATTAAAACATCTTTGAACATGTTTATTGACATATTTTTGTATCTTTTAAGCGTTTTTCAATAGCTTATTGTCCAAGGTGTCAATGGTGTACAGTTAAGAACGGCATGATTTAGATTGTCACACAAAAAAATGTCTTCTTACCGGATTGTAAATTTTATAAGTTCAATGATGATTTGATTTGTGCTCAAAAGTAAACTTTTATTCTAGAAACAACATTGACTATTTTCTGAATAAAGTTGATTTGGAGCGATTAAAAAAATTTATATTTGTATTTTAGTCGCGAATTTGTTTGCTTACATTTCATAGGAACTTGAAATTTTAGTTTGAATCGAATGTGCATGCTTTTGAATACAGATTCGCCCTTTCAATATCTCGTAAATGATGCTTATATTGACATGGAGTGAGAATGATTGTTAGCAAAAATTTCTCAAGAAAATAGAAATTTCTCATATTTGAATAATTGATACGATAAAAGACAATCATCCACTTCATCATTAGTATTTATAAATTTTCGACATGATATTTGGAATTGAAAACGAGTTTTCACGTCTATTTCCCAGTTTCATCTTTTTTGACTGGGGTGTGGATGTGAATCTGAGTAAAATCAATATCCAGTCTCACACTCATACCCATCCATAAATGTGGCTGTTGTGCAAAGGTTTATTCATTTGGCATTTATCGACCTAAAATCTATCAAAGATCTATTTGTATGAATCCCTCAATTTGAATCAGCAAAGTAGAAATAACCATGTAAAATTTGGAGAAATTGTTACTTTGTAGCTGTTGCTTAATCTCGTTATATCTGCAAAAAAGGATGTGCTCGTTGTCTCATATTTGTTCATACATTTCAAGCTGCTTTCATATTCACATTCCGCAGTGTAGATACCATATCAGTTGATATTTTTAAAACTTTAGTTACTAAAGACTTTAGACAACAATGATCATAGCTCACATAGTAGTTTCACAAAGTTCAGCGTGAGACACCACGAAAGTTTCTTGCGATGACAATGAAGCAACCAAATGCCAGAGTGTGAGGGACATATCTTTTCAATTGATTATATCGACCGATGTATTTACAAATAGAAGAGTCGAAGCAATAAAAAAAAAGGTTTCATATATATTCACAGAAAAATTTATTATAAAAAACTAGAAATCACGAATGTGAAAGAAGATAAAGTCAGGAGATAGTAAAATGATGAATTATGATTATATTTGTAAATGAAGTACGTTCTATCAGCATTCAAAGCTGTTTCTGTATTGTCTCAAATAAAGAGTCTAACTGTTTTGTGTCGTTGCCAAACAAATCGAGAAGACGTTGGCGAGCTTTTCGAACTACACCGTGCCACATCGTTGACAGTGACGAGAAACGAGTTTCGAGTGTAACAATAACAATTCCCGTTATAAGAACCTCACGATTTTTGCAATTTGAGAAACTGGTTAACGGTTTGTCAGTCAATTTCTGAATATCTTTCTCATTCAGATCCCATAAGCCATCAAACTTTTGTTTGCTGATCAAGTAGCGAATGATATCTTGATCGTCAATAGACCAATGTTCTTCATCGTCTGCTTTGCTTGTTGTTTGCTGTGTGCTTTTGTGTTCACTGCTCTTCGAAGTACGAGTTCTTTGAGACAAAAAATACTTAAAGATTCGAAAACTTCGAATATAATCCATAAGGCCAACACTAGGCATGGATATTGAAACTGGGCGAAAGCTTTTCGAACGAGGAGCTGATTTAGCACGATGTTGAATGTCCGTCTGCTGCACTGGCCGCAGAGCAGACCTACATGTTGATGCGCAACTGGGTGCCATGAAATTATCGATGTCAAAGCTACTAGGAGGCCTGACTGCAGATGTCATTCGAAAACAGGATTTTATGCGAATCTCTGCTAGTAAGTGCTGATCATCAGCTGATATATCAATGGGTACTTCGCGTAAGACCATTTCGGCATTGCTTTGATTTGCCCGCTTTTCGATCCCGACAAATGCCGTATATGGGTTGAGAATATTGTATTTTAGTGACAGTTCAATAATGCGTTGTTTAGTTATCTGGTTTTTGTCAGCAGCAGCAGTTGTTGTTGTTATTGTTGTTGACGACGTGGACGATTCTGTTTGGTTCTGCAATCGTGTTTGCAACGATCCGCGAATATTGTTTGATGGTATTTTAGCATGTTGTAACTCTAGAATGAGGGCTTTGACAGCCAGTCGAGCAATGGTACCGTTATTCTTGGTATTCGACACAAAGCTGGCTTTGATCACACTCAATCGGTACCGATTGACATGCAACTCGACACTAGCATCATCATTGAATGTCGTACCGGAATCATTTGCTAGAGCATAAACAATGAAACGATCATTGGCATAGACTGGCGGAGGCTTCGTTGGAACATTGGTGACAGGTATGCCAAACTTCCATTCAACTTCAACATTGGTGATTGCCGGTTGTAAAGTGCGTTGTAATTGCTCACCAACATAAACATCGACACTGCTATTAGAAGGAATAAAAACAAAACGACCGTTGGTTGTTCGAGCTAGACCTTTGACCAACGCACGACTTGGTGAATAGCCCAAGCCAAAAGAAAAGATTCGTGCAGATGTCGACATTGAACGGCAAAGATCAAGTACTTCGTCAACATTGGATACCTCACCATCAGTCAAGAGAAAGATTTGTCGCGCACGGCCTTGTTCTGGCGATTGTTTGTCTAGCCACTAAAGAGGTTTTAACTACAACCGAAAACCTTTTTCTTAATCACGAATTTCTATAATTAGTAAACGATTCAACTTACTAACTCAGTTCCAGCCAAATCGGATTCCATCATTTGTATAAGCTGTTCTGCGTACTGAGCATTTTTCTCGTTGTATTGATCCGTGATAACGTTAAAAAGTGTCTTATAATCGGACCCAAATCGTATAATATTAAACTGACACTGAACTGGCAGAGTTTTGAGAAAAAGAATCATTGCTTGGCGCGCCAGTCCAATTTTGTTCTCGTCGCGCATTGATGAACTGCAATCAACAATGAATATAAATTCATTAGTTGTTCCTATATTGTTCATCATATGTTGACAGTGTTCGTTGGTCGGTGTAAACGATGCCATGGCAGCGCCACACTCGACGACAACATTTGTATTCGATGTTTGGTTACCCAAGCCAAGATCGAGAAGAATATCTCGATCCAAATGTGTATTTTTTTGCGCAAACTCGATAACGTAGACCTGATCTTGACTGACATCTACTTGAATTGGATGAGACGACGAACTGACTAGCGAAATGCCGATCTTGTCCACTTGACAGCAAAATTCGATCGTTTACGAACTATGTTGAACATATTTTGCCTTCGTTCGTGCCGGCGAGCCAATACCACCTTTGCTTGGATTATAACGTGGAGCTATGGTGGTTGGAACAATGAAACGAATTTTCCGATCATTTTGAATTAGCTTCAACTCCGAGACGTAAGAGATTGAAATGTGGCATTCTTTGCCTGGTGGAAGTGCGCCTACGTCGATGATAAAATTATCTTGAGAATCTTCATCTTGTTCAAGAAGATAGGCGCCATAGCCTCGACGAAGAGCATTCCCATATTTTTTTTTTGTGCTTCGCCTTTTTCTTTCAACTGAGCAATGATTTCTCGATCCTCTATAGTAGCAGCGAACGCATAGACGGCAGCGTGTTCTTCGATTGGAAAACAATAAACAGCGTCAATTGGTACTGTCTCATCGTTGTGAAAGATCTGTTCAATGGTTACATCGGCAGCGAAGGATCGTATAGTCGCTTGGGCATAAACACGTTTGAGTGTTACGTACTCTTGATTGTTTTTTGCTAACGAAGTATTGGGGACTAAATGTTGCGTGATCCGGAGCATTATTTTTAAAAATGTATGCGCTCTGTCTGTTTACTTGTGCATTATATAAAGAGGGTAGAAAAAAGGAAGAAATCAATGTGTGAAATGACTCAATATTGACAAAGAATTGCAAAATCGAGATGAAAGAAAAAACGGAAGAGAGACATTTTCTTGTTGAAGGAGAAAAGTCATGATTTTATAGATGAATCACTAACTACTAGGATTTGTCATTGCATTGAGATGACTGGAATATCGAAACAATCGAATAGATCAGGCTACCTAGGTGTGGATATAGCTATAGGCATGACGGTATTCTCTTTCTAAACAATCACACCTGATCCTTGTTCTGTATTTAATATGTGGACTATTTCGAGTCAATAACTTCAGTACCTGAATGTATAGTTTGCTGGCAGAAACTCTCCAAAGAGACGCCCCTTTCAAGTTCGGACAGAGCCAACTACAGGTTCGATCACCAGATTCCTGTTTCCAAGTTTCTACCATTTTTTAGTTAGAACTGGCCGTACTTCATTCACCATGGATTCTTCAAAACTCAATAGTAAAGCAATCAGTTTTCTCCCAAACGACGTTTTATTTTTGAGAATACAAAAAAAAACTCAAGAAAATGAAATAGATGGTAGAAAGCATGAGCAAATTTTGTATTTATTCTTTATAATGACGATATTATGTGAAAGTATTATTCAACGAACAGAACTACGGAACTCTTTTCTTTTAATCAAGTTTATACATGCATCGATATTAATATCATTACCGAAAACCAACGTGAACTAAGATGGTATTATCGAAGAAAAATCTTTAGTTATTATAAATGATACCGTCATTTTTATGACATTCCGTTGTTTATCAAAAGAAAAAGAAATGAAAAATAAAAACCCAAAATGACTATTTTTATTGATTATTTTAGGTTATTTTGTTTTTTGGATTGTAATCGTCTATCATGTTTGCCCAAGGTGGCAATTGATCGGAAGAGATCTATGAGTGAATCTGACATTTGGCAAGGAACTCATTAGAAATGCTTATTGAAAAGATTAATCTCTTATAATTAACCAAAGAAGGGATTAAATTTGCGTTGATTCGCGCAAATCTAATATATATAAAGAAAAACGAAACAAGAATGTCACGCTATTTGAAAAAATCAATATATACAACTGTTCATTTCGTCTAATAAACTCTATCAAAAGAGTTAATAAACGACATTCAGAATATGATGTACATAATACCATTAAATATATACAAAAATTAAATTATTGATTTCAAATCTAATGGACTAATCACCTTAATTATATGGATCATACCGTTCATTATCGTGGTTTTGTGATTTCATTAGTTTCTATTAGAATAAACGACGTAATTCAACCAAAATTCCTTTGAAATAGGAGAATCCGAGTCTTCTACTATATTCAACAGCATAAAAGCTCAGCGAGAATCTAATCATGTGTCCTAATTTTGTAACTAATAGTAATTGAAAAACAAGAAGGTTTAGAGTCTTTTGAAAAATGCTGCAGAATTGAAAAAGCAAAGAATTGGTTGATTTTATCTTCAGTCTTCAACGATTTTCAGTTCAAAAGCTTGAAAACTATGTAAAATTTCGATGAAATATATTAATTGAAGTTTTGTCACGTTTTGTACATCGTTCTTTTCTGGAGTCTTCCGTTGTCAAAAATAGATTAGGACTTTGCAGCGTAATATTGCATAAAAGAGATTTCAAACATCGTCTACACCAATATCATCGTAATTGTTTTTATTGTAAGAACATCTAAAGATTTAAAATATAACAACTGACGCATTTTAGCGTATCAGCTCAGTTTAGACTGATCCAAACGAATAAACAACATTTATGAATAACTGAAAATAACTTATTTATTTAATTTATTGTCCTCTGTATTTATCAGTTTCGATCGTCTACTAATCTTTTTTTCGTTGAGTTTTTTGAGCATCCGTCGATTATTGATGTCAAACGTATCAATACCTCATGTTTTTATTAAGATAAACATTTACGATTATAATATTTTATAACTATGTTCACACTAATAATTTGTAGAGACGAATGCGTCATATAGAGAGAAAAGAAAAAGAAACAAACTGAAACTTATATATATAGCGTGTGACACAGCGAATATCTAAAATACCCAATTTAAGTCATAATTGTCATTACAAGCACTCACTCTATCTGATTATCTTCTCTTATTTATCTTCACTAATTATATTTTCTGTAATTGAGAAAAAAAGAACATGACGATAGTAAAGCAACCTTCGAAAATTTATAATGTTAATATGAATGCATATAACATATCAAGTAATCGTTTGGCCACTACAGGTATATATATTTCTGATTGACGAAATAACTCTTTCTTGTTTTTGTATACTTTTTTTACGACACCTCTTTTTCGAAGAATAGCTTCTTTAGAAACTCATATTACATGAAATATGTTTACATTATTACTTGTACTGATGGAAGTTAGAAGATATGATGAAAAGAAAAAACAATTGACATATAAACTAAGACCATTGGTGAGTCTTTCCTGTTTTATGTGCCGTCAATAAATTCATATTCAAACTAAACATAGATATCACTGCTGGAAAGAAAATAAATTTCACTTGTTTTATTATTCGATTCCACTACGCATCCATTGATAACAAGTAGACGAATCGTGAACATGTACTTAATCTTGAGAACGTTCTCTTCGTTTTTCTTAACACACTATAATATCTATAATGATACAAACATAATTTTCTTAAACCACAAGTATTTGAGGAAGATGTTCTTCGAAGAAAAGGGTTCAAGGAAGACTTTGGAGAAAAATAAGGAAAACTGATTCAACAATTGAATATATATAATATTTTTTGTAACCCTTGATCTACTGTAGCTGTCTGTTCTTGTATGTGTTTTATTCTTGTTTTTGGTCATGGTAAAAGAGTATTCATAGAACATCGTAGCGACGATTATATTGCCAAAGAACTCACGATAGGAAACTTTCGATTATGTTAAAAAACAATTGTTCGAACATGTCAAATTATATTTTTCTGAAGGTGAAATCATGTAAGAAAAAAACAAATAAACAGTATATACAAGCATCAGAATAGAACAATTATCAATGTCACGATTAAAAATGTGCAATCTTGATCATTTTAATTGAGCTCTTCAAAAAAGCTAATTAATACTTTCTATAAATTGATCATTATTTGATCAATCATAATCATAATAGTAGCCGAGCGCTTGTCATTTCTTGGATTTACAATATGGAGCTCTGGCAAGGTTTTCAGAAAGTGAAAATCGGTTCTGTATACATTCAGTCTGTATACAATCTTGGAAAAATTGTGGCAGAGATTGTAGAATTAATACGATGCCACCACCAACGTTCCTCCAATGATCTTATCGTTTTGGATGGGTAGGATGTGGGTATGAGTGTTGGTCTTCTTTTCACTCAGACCATACATCCACATCTCATAAAAATATGTTATTTAACTGGCTTCTATTTATCTGATTTTGTTTCTTCAGTTACAGAGGAGACTAATTTTTGGTAGATTTATAAATCCATCACGGTCTTATTTATTCAAAAATCGCATCTTGAACTTAATTACGAGCAATGACCATCATGATAGTGGTGGTAATATTGATAACGATAAAGCACAACTTTATCAACAATTACTCAAACGCATTAAATGATTAAACACTCATTTTAATCTTGATGCTAACGCATCAAACCTTACCAATGAATGTAGTTTTGATGTTATTTTTAAGCGATGTTCCAGTTGTAATTAATGAGTTATTATCATTATACAGCACGTAAGAAATCTATGAAAATGGAACATCATTATTGGTGTTATTCTCATGGAAGTTTTCAGAAACAGCTCTAGATTTGCTATAAATCTAACTTGAACAAGAACATACGAAGGTAATCATTTAGATTATAACCCTTTTTGTCACTTTATCGAAAAACAAAATCTGCTAGTGAAAAATAGATTGCGTATACTGCTCAAAAGACGAGAAAGGCTATCCTATCTTTTGGCTATCTTGTGTTGTGTGTAGCTGTTCAGAAACAGTTTCGAAAGTCCGATATTTTTTTCTAGAATTAATCTAGCTCAATACACCTCCTTTTATTCTTCAACGCGAGTACTGAGAACACTGACAAATAGTATTTTCAATAGACTCTTTTTTGTATTAAGTTAAGAGTTTTTCATCATTTTCATAGGAAAATTTCGTCTACTCATGAATATATGATTAATATAGATTTTTAAGCATATTGGTCTTGAAAATACACCTAAATATGAAAAAAAGTCTAATACTAATCAAAATAGGATGAAAAACAATGGAAAATATTTAACAACATATCATAATATTCAGTTGAAGTATATAAACAATTAAAAAGAGTCAGATTACATATTCTAGCAGCATAAGAAACGTATGTTTCAATCTTTGACACACAATTCGAAATACCTTCTTATGAATTTTATTAAGAGAGCGCTTGAAAATAATGAAAGACATCAAAAACTAAAGCTACCATTGTAAATCGATTGATAAATATAAAAATAATGTTAAGTGAAACAACATCAATATTTAATTAAGAAATATAATAAAACAGTTATTCTATAAATGAAGCTTTTGTTGTTGTTCGATGTTGTCCTATTCTTTTTTTATCATGAAGGCGTATATCCTTTGCTGCTGGAAGCATTTTGCAAAAATTCAACCTTATTACCATACTAATCATATGTCTGCAAATATATTCTTTGAGACAACTTTGACATATTGAAATTTTATTTATAGAGTGTAATTAGTTTTAGAAAAATGATTACAGCTTTAAAGAGTCTTTAGAGTGTATTTCGTTACATAAATGGATTTTAATCTATTGTATTGTTGATACTACGAATCATGAGTATGTAATCATTCTTGTCGAAAACATTCTGAAAAAAAATTTAACTTGTATATTTATTCTAAAACTTAGCAAAAGTTTTTATTACTGAGAAAATTAAAATATAACTGAACGTCGAATAATTTTCCTTAACATTTAAATTTTTTACTGAGGAGATACAAATTTTACACAGCAAAAATCGAAGTAACATTTAAGTAATTTTACTCAATAAAAAAACTAGTAGCCATATTTTAGAATGTTTTCACTTATTTTCACGTATTTATAAAAGAGAATTATACATCGACAGAATTTCAATTTCATGTTTTTTTGCATACTGACAAATATTTTTATCTTTTATTGATGTTGTTCACTCTAGATTGACTACTAGTCACACGTTAATAGACTTGTTATCAGATTTTAGTGTGTCACATATTGAATTATACTTTACTTATGTTGTTAGAACATCCAGTATGGATCTATTTAATTCAAGTGAATATTACGATATGCTTTTATATTTTTTTAATTGTTTTTAGAGCTTCTTCATCTTTACGTGTTTTGTCAAGATAAATATACTTAAGAAGCTCTATTAATTATATTTTAATGACTAAGTGATGTTTCTGTGCAAATACCTATAGTTATCTTGATTCATAAACATATCTAGAATGACTACAGTCAAACGCGCGGTTTTTCATGTAAATATCGTGGTGCGGTTAACGGAGATTTGATGCGAAATATTCTCTTCTGAATAACTAATGGCGATGGATTGCATCTGATATTTTGTTTTCCATCGTGTATGAGAGCGTAGGTTACAACCAAATGCATAATAGTATGTGATCAACGTGAATTTCCTAATAACACCGTAGTGAGTTTGAAAAAAACGCTATTTGACTACGATTTGACTCAAATATTTTCTTTTCGCTCGTAGTTTGCAGTACTTTAGTTATGGTTCAATCTATAAATAAGTTGAATGTGATTTTAGACGGGACATTAGTTGATTTTAAAAAGACTTTCTGATGATTTCAAGTTTAATCATAGTCATATTGTATTTACGATTTTAGCTTGGTAGAACAGCATAAGTTTTAAACTGTAACTCAACCTAAAAATATGATGTGGATTAAACTAATACTAAAAATAGATAAGAAAGATAAATAGAAACATTTATTTAAAGATTATAACTAAAATATCACCAATAACATATGATATTTTGATATTAATCCTAAAAAAAGATAAATTCATAAATAAAAAGAGAATACAGTTGTTGTCACCATCATTCGAGTTCAAATTCGAAGTGATGAAAAAAATTATAAATAAATTCTTTTCATCAACGTAAGACATTTTTTTCATTTCATTTTTATATATTAATCTATTCAAGTATCACAAATATTGACGAAAATCGTTAAAACAAATAATATATTTGTCTTTTGATTATTGATAAAAATTCTGTAGATCCTCGTCAATATTTGCAATAGACATATCGACATGAAGTGAATACTCCTACCACAGAAACTATAATTATCGTCTAGAATCTTTCTTTGTAGAATGTTCGTTCTTTTGATTCTTTTATGTTTATCTGCGGAAATTAACACGGCACCCGTTAAATTACAAATATTCAAAGAACAAAAACAAACACCTAATCCACAAGGTAAGTTTCATCTGATAAATAATTTCAAACAAAGTGCTTCTATACATCTCATTTTTCTCTTCTACGGACAGGTTATATGAAAAGATATGTATTCATTAGTTTAAACTATTCATTTTGTTTTGCCGTTTATTTTCCTCAGTGTTTAATAATTCGATCCATATCAGTGCAATTGATATATACATGATTAAGAGAAATAGTTTCATTTATTTTCATCAAAGTAAATATCTTCTCGAATTATTGGTCAACAAGTATTCGTATTTGTGTTTCTAGTAAAACAGCTTCAAAATCCTTGAGACAACTCAGGAGAGATATTCCTTTTTTTAATTGAACATTTATGAATATGATCAAAACATAGATTAATATTAACATTGTTATCTGTAAGCTTTTCAGGACAAAAAACTATGTATGACATTAATCAACAGAAAGAATAATCAGAATTTGACTTCTATTGAACAAGACTGATGTTTCTTTGATTTGGTCACTAAATTCAGTTAAATAGACATGAACAAGAAAATAACGTTTTTGCGTTAAATCGTTCGTGATAAATCAAAAAGGCATCGCTGTGTTTTGACATGATCGATTTTGTTAATCTTTCAATAAATATAACATAATCAATTCCTTTCGATCTTTTTACGCATAGTTATCATAAAATCCTGTGCGCTGTTCTTCGAAACCTAATTGTTCATTTTCTATGTCAAGTACCGAAGCAAATTCTACGCTTTTTTCTTTTATATGATAGTCAACGTGACAATGTAATTTTGTTTTCTTCACGATGACATATACATTAGATTATATGAATGTGTTACTTTGAATAAATGTTATTGTTAATTTAGTGGCAGAGACTACTCCTGCAATACCTTATACGATTATAAAGGATGGTCATGGTGCAGTCTATGAATGGCAAAGTGATACAATCACTGTACGTTTAACTGGAGCTCAAACACAAGAACTATTCACTCTTACTGAAGATGCAATGAAACCAACGTTCAAACTAGGTTTTCATCTCCATAGAAAACATGCCGAAACATTTCATATTATCGAAGGAGACGTAGAATTTCGTTTAGGTAGTAAAACATACGTTGCAAAAGCTGGAACAACAATTCACGTACCATCAAATACACCTCACGGTGTTAGAGTTATCAATGGACGACAGGCTCGTATGATTATGATATATTCACCAGCCGGAATCGAAAATTTTCTCAAAGAAATGAAAACATTTACTGATGAACAGTTTGCTGATGAAATATTTATGAAAGCATTCAATGACAAATATGATAATATTCAGTTGGAATAATTATGTTTTCTTTCTATTTTATTTTAAAATACATCAATGTTTGATATCGAGAAATAAAATAATTTTTGAAACAATGAGTTTTTTTTTTCAATAGGTATGTCATTGGAAGATGACGATAGTCAACGATTTATAATTAGTTAGTAATATGTGCTTCAATATTATTTTAATATAATATTTTAATTTACTATACGATATTGATGATATGCTAATTGATATGAATGTAAGTTTCGATGGTGAATTTATTCATTATGATTAAACTTAAAGTTCAATATTAAAATTCTTAATGATCATGATTGTTGTATTCAGACTTTCATTAAAGATAGAAATATAAACAAAACTCACAGTAAATCTGCTTGTAAAATTCGTTTTTTTTTATCTCACTTCTTGTTGTGGATATTATGTTGTTTTTCATTTAGTCGAAATGCTCTCTATTCGGGATTTGTTCTGTTAATCATATATAATATAACTGAAACAAAAGTATGCAAAATCTGTTAACTATAACTGAGACTTATTCATAGTCTTTGTTATTCTACTGACTGATCTTTTAAATTTGTTGAAGATCCAGTTGTTATTCTGAAGTACAACTATAGTCTCAGCTTAATTCTTCTTGTTTGATGATAAAATGTATAAAAATATCTTATAGAGAAGTACTCATTTGTTTTTATTCAATTGTAAATCTTGTTTATTGCGTTGAAATAAAATTATTTAATAAAAAAAGAATCATATCTGGAATAAAATGAAGAAAAAACATAGTGATAAAATCTTATATATGACAAAAAAATGTTATATTTATGTCACTAAAGGATAGTCATTGGATAATTTTGTTTGTGTTAGCAATTTAATCTAATTGTGGTAAAGTGACATTAGCACCTATTGTAGAAGCTAAATTTCCCATAGCCACAAGCATAAAAAACTGTTGTAATTTGACAGCTTCATCCAAAGTTAAAACATGTGGTACTTCTTGTATTGATTGTTGGTTGCTTTGGAAAAGACCACCTAGATAACTTTTTGATGTTTGTATTAATAATAAATCAGGTGCTAATTGCCAATTAGCATCGACATCAACAATGAAAAATGAAGCAGTATTGGTTAAACTATCACCATTTTTGAACAATGTTAATGAACGATAAGTTCCATTATTTGATGGTGAATAAAGATAATCAATACGATCCCAAGCAAAATCATCTGAATAGGTCAAACCAAGCATAAAACTACCTTTTGATGGTAAATTGTAATCGATAATAACTGCATTTATAAATTCTGTTGCTCTATCAGCTGGTATATCAATTGCTTTTAAAACTGTTGATTTTTCAGAGAAATATGTAAAACCAAATCGTACAATACGTGTAATTGTCGTAGAACTACTTGATTTAAATGCACTTACAACATCTTTCCAAGCTTGGGCAGCAGCTGAAACGGCCTTAGATAAAGCTAAGATTTTGGCTGCAATATTTCGTGATTGAGAAACATAAATATTATTGCGATTTATTCCTGGTGATATTATTTCCGTTTTAAAATAGGATAACATTCGATTTCGTTGTGGAATAAGTGCACTAGCAGCAATGAAACGTAAAATATTCAATGCAATTTTTGTTGTTTTTAATTGCCATGGTGTAATTAATGTTAAAAGATCTTCATTTAAAAATTCACCACGATCACTTAATATTGAAGTACGTACAACTTTTAATTTTTTATTATCATCAATTATATAATCAGGTTCATCCGTATTTGTTTCATTTGATAATAATGTGTTAATTAATTGTTGAGAAGTAATGTTTACAAAAATAAAATTAATTGAATATGTTGAATTATCAATAGTTTGACCAATTAGCCAAACATATTTAATAATAACAGTTTTGCTATAGACATCAGTTGAAGTAGTAAATAAATTTTCATATGAAAATCTTCCTGTTTTTAATTGTTCGAGAAAAATTTCATTTTCATTAATATCTTCAAATCCATAATCTTTTGTTAATGTTGATAGAACTATAGGAAGATTTTCACTTCCTACTTTAGTCATTTTCAATGATTGACTTGATAATTGTAATGATGCTATATGAGATTGTAATGCTGACAGAATTGAATTATTGTATGATGTCAATATTTCAGCTTTGATAATATTACTTGAGAGAAATTTTTCAATAGCTTCAGTCAAAGATAGAATCTGATTATTAGAATTATATTTAATTAAAGCACGTTTTTTAATTGCTTTATTCAATGATTGTTGATTGAACCAAGAAAACTGATCGAATTTCATTTTTTGATTTAGGATATTTAATTCGTCTGGCGTAAGACCACGTGGTGAAGATCTTGTTTCATCATGACAACAACAATCACTTAGCCATACACATTTAGGACACGTATGACAATCCTGTACAGTATAGTATGTGTATTGTTGTTTGACAACTGCATTTGAATTAATTGTTACATAGGAAACTGAAACTGGTGAATTTGGATCACTTGGAGAATCAAGTTTTTTTGTAGCAACTAATAGAGTTGATAATGAGACACCTGTTTCAGTATCAAATAGAAATGCTTGAGCTGTATAAGATCCTTCTGTTGCAGCAAGCACTAATAAATTGACACTTGCAACAGCTTTATCACGAAATTGATCTGGAATTGACCAACCAGCCATAACACTAGCGAGTGTTTCAATTCCAACATTAGTTTCACCAATTGATCCACTTGTTGATGTTGGATCCATATAATTTGCCCAATTTGCTAAAATAAATAATATATTATGAAATCATAGAAGACAAGCGAGAACAAACTCTACCAGGTTCTGCTACATTTAATATATTCGCTGCTTGCTTTATAGGTGCAAATTTATCGATTGATCTACCATTGATTCGAATTATTGGCGAAGCATAAAATGCAACGCATGGCATTAACACATTAATAAATAGCAATAAAATAACACTTTGTTTCATGTTGTATCTAAAAAACAAAAGCATGACAATTCTATAGAAAATAATATTTGAAACGATACTTTTATAATAATGTTGTTATTTTTCAATTAATTTAAAGATAAGAAAAGTAAATATCTTTCGATAAATTTCAGTCAATGAAAACATTTTTTAATTGATTGTCATCTCATGTTATAATAGATGTGCCTGTGTCTGAAGAGAAAACGCACATCTACACACATCTTTTCAGAATTTAGTTATGATACCCGAAAAATCGTCAATTCATTGTAACCAACTGACAATTTTTCAAATATGATAATTAATTTGGAATAACTGATCAGATTTCTCGAACAATGACATACTAACTATTTATTTAGATAAATCGAATTAATTGCAATAAAATACTTTTTAGGAACTATTACTTTAATTATATAAATAATATTCTGCATTAGTCAGAATAATCACAAAATTAATTTCAACAAAAACTATTATTTAAAAAAATAAATTATATTTCTCTTTTATTTCAATTAATTGCAGCAAAAATTTCGTTATTGAGTATTCAAGAAATTTCTTCAATGATCTAAAAATCCCTATCATAATTTTTCGACTTGTTTTTAAGGAAAGTTGACTAGAGTCGATCATTCTCATTAATACAAAAAAAAAAGCTTATAGATGAATTGTGATAAAATTGTCAATTTTGACATGGTTGTGGTTTCTCGACGGCTGAAATCGAAACGTAAAATGATTTAATCGATGCGTTATTGAGAGCTGATCTGAACATTATGGAAAAATCTACCTTAATTGTATCAAAACATAACGAAAACATAGTGCTTTAGACAAAACTCAGGTTTTCATATTAGTCAATGACTTACCTTTCACGATACTATTATAACTGTTAAATGATGTAAGAATCGCATTTAAAATTACTCTTGATAATATTGTTTTTGAGACTTTCCATAATGAATCAACTTCATCGAAACTATAATTCGTTTCTATTGCTTCATTGCATACTTAATTGACTGTTANGTATGGGTGTGGGTGGGTGGGTGTGGGTGTGAGTGCGGGTGTGGGTGGTGGGTGTGGGTGTGAGTATCCTCTTGTCTGCCAACACTCACACCCACACCGACACCCACACCCACACCCACACCCATCCACACCCACACCTTAAGATGATGATGCAATGCAAATTTTTTTCTCATTCTTCCATAGCAAATGGGTTGGGTGTGGATATCGACACGTGAAGTGAGATTCCACTCACACCCAACACACTGAATCATTAAAAATGAGACAGGGAAGATTTTTTTCTTCCTATAACTTTGTTTTATATTAAAATTCTGCATTTCCAATGTGTTTTATATTGGACGCACACCTCTCATTATCATTAATTGTAACATATTTTTATCGTACAATAGGAATACTTTTTTATACCTATCAATCCAGAGAAAGAGAAAGAATACTTATGCATCAAAATATGCATAAATCATCAGTTAACTGTGTGTAGTCTCATTGTAAATTCTTCGTCAATTATTAATGAATGAATGAGCGTAATGTAATTGTGTACATAAGATACAAAGTGTTCCATGACACAAGTTTCTGCGAAAAGAAAACTCATTTCATTGCTGCTGAAAATACTGACACGAAACTCATACTTTTTTAGTTTCAAAAAACAAAAAGAATGGTAGGGTCTCAACTATTATTCCGATAATTCAATCCTACTACCTTATCATCAACTTATATATGATTATGACAACTTAACAAGAAGCTGTGAGCAAGATTTGAACAGGAGAACAGAAGATGAAATACATACATTTGAAGGCAAGCAAAAAAAAACGCTGAGCTAAAGCATCTTGAGGAACGAAAGTGTTCATTGTAGCCTGACTCAGGTCATATCAGTATAACCAGAGATTTTACATGAATAGATTTCCAATATTGCATTAATATCGACTAATTGATGCGGCATTAACTGACTTGAATTCATCTGGCTACATGTTTAAATTATTTAAACTACAATGAGACCCAGTATTAAGTTCTACATAAGCTGTCAGTATATGACATAGGATGCTCCGAAAAGAATGAATATGACAATGTTCACAA